CAAACAACCGGTTCGGTGGGCAACGAGTCGGAGGCGTTACCCCTTCTAAGGCCTTCTTGACCTTCGATTCGACCTCCCATGTGAGTGTAGAGATAAATAGGGTCTCTGGTAAAATGCACTCGGGAGTAGACGGGCGATCGGAACGGTCAAAAATGCGCGATAAAGAATCGGGTTTGATGTTTTTAGAACCCGGGCGGTACGAGAGAGTAAAGTCAAAACGTCCGAAAAAAAGAGCCCACCGAGCCTGCCTGGAATTAAGTCTTTTAGCCGTACGAATGTATTCCAAATTTTTGTGATCGGTCCAGACGATAAAAGGTACCCCCGACCCTTCTAACCAGTGGCGCCACTCCTCCAATGCTAGCTTGACCGCCAACAACTCTCTGTTGCCAATGTCATAACTGCTTTCGGCAGGGGATAAACGATGAGACAAAAATGCGCAAGGGTGCATCTTGTCGTCTGAAGGAGAGCGCTGGGATAACACTGCACCTACCCCCACCTCTGACGCATCGACCTCCACCACAAACTGACGTGATGGATCAGGGGTTATCAGGATGGGGGCTGAAACAAAGCAACCCTTCAGTTTGGCAAACGCAGCTTCTGCTGCGTCTGACCACCTGAACGTCGTTCTGGGGGAGGTCAAGGCGGTCAGAGGCGCGGCTAGTCGGCTGAAATTGCGAATAAAACGCCGGTAAAAATTGGCAAACCCCAGAAACCTCAGTAGGGCCTTACGGGAATCTGGACTTGGCCAATTTACCACAGCCTTAACTTTGTCAGGATCCATGCATATTCCCTCAACCGAGATGATGTGACCTAGAAAAGGAACAGACTGTGCATGAAACACGCATTTCTCCGCCTTGACAAAAAGCCCATTCTCTAGCAACCTCTGAAGCACTTGTCGGACGTGTTGCACGTGTTCCTGGAGAGACGATGAAAAAATCAATATATCATCCAGGTAGACATATATGAATTGATCGACCATGTCTCTCAAAACGTCATTGACATGTGCTTGGAAGACCGCTGGGGAGTTGGAAAGGCCGAACGGCATAACCAAATATTCAAAGTGCCCCCTAGGGGTGTTAAAAGTGGTTTTCCACTCATCCCCCTCCCTGATGCGGACCAAATGATATGCATTTCTTAAATCCAATTTCGTGAAGATAGATGCTCCTTGCAACCTCTCGAAGGCTGAAGACATCAACGGCAAAGGATAAGTATTCTTTACCGTGATGTTGTTCAACCCCCGGTAATCAATACAAGGTCGCAACGATCCATCTTTCTTCCCCACAAAAAAGAACCCCGCCCCCGCTGGAGAAGAGGAAGGGCGGATGAATCCCGTTGCTAGAGAATCAGAAATGTATTTCTCCATGACCTCTCTCTCTGGGACAGAGAGTGAATATAATTTGCCCTTAGGCGGAGACGTACCTGGCAATAACTCTATAGCACAGTCATAGGGACGGTGTGGAGGAAGAGAATCAGCCCGAGACTTACTGAACACCTCCTTCAGGTCCCGATACTCCGTGGGCACGTTAGATAAATCCACTGTCTCCTCCTGCAACACATGAACAGAAACAGACGGACAGGCAGACACAAGACAGGACTTATGACAAAAACTGCTCCACGCCACTACTGATTTGAGCTGCCAGTCTATTTTGGGGTTGTGATGAGTGAGCCATGGGTGGCCAAGAACAATGGGTGCAAGCGGAGTGTCCAGGATATAAAAGGAGATGGTTTCTGAGTGGTTGCCTGACGTGATGAGGGTGATGTCTTCAGTGACCAGAGATATAGTGGGGAGTTCTTGGCCATTGAGGGCGTGTACTGCAATCTGATGGGTGAGGGGTTTGAGGGGAACTTGGTGGTTGAGTGCAAAGGTGTGGTCCATGAAGTTACCTTCGGCGCCCGAGTCCAGAAGTGCGTGACAGTCGTGACGATGGTTGTACCATCGGAGTCTAACCGGAAGGAGAGTCGATGTTGATGAGGTCTTCTCGGCGGAGATCCCACCCGACAGTAGCCTCATACTTACTGTCGGGCTGGGCCTTTTAAAGGACAGTTGTAGGCGAAGTGTCCAGCTCCTCCACAGTACATGCAGAGGCCCTGGGATCTCCGCCTTTCCTTCTCCTCCCGGGAAAGCCGTGCTCGACCCACCTGCCTGGGCTCGGGATCGTAGACGGGGCTGACCGCGTCCCCGCCTCCAGAACGTTGGCCTTCAAATCCTCCCGAAGGGCGGTTGAGCTGTGCTCGCTGTTCCACTCTGGACAGCCGTGCGTCCACTCTAAGCGCCAAAGCGATTAGGTCGTTGAGCTTGGTGGGAAGGTCCATGGCGTATATCTCCTTCTGGACGCGGTCAGCCAGCCCATGCAGGAACATGTCCCACTGCGCCTCCTCATTCCATTGGCTCTCCGCCGCCAGGGTCCGGAACTCGATAGAAAAATCCGCTACGGATCTCCTTCCTTGACGCAGGTCGGCTAACACTCTGGCTGCTTCTCTACCGGCCACAGCGCGGTCAAAGACTCGTTTCATTTCGGCGGAGAGCGCTTGGAACGAGGCGCAGCATTCGTCCTAGTTCTCCCACACCGCCGTTCCCCATAGTGCCACTCTCCCAGTCAGTAACGTCAAGACAAAAGCGACCTTGGTTCGTTCCTCACGGAAGGTTCGGGGCTGGAGAGAAAAATGCATTGAGCATCGTGTTAAGAAGGCTCGACAAAAGTTAGGTTCACCTGAATACGGCTCCGGAGCCGGTAGACGGGGCTCCGACTGGGAGGGGTCCGCTGGTGGTGGTTGGGGAATCGGCGGTCCAGGCGGCGCAGTGGGAGCTCGCAGAAGTTGGATTTGCTGGGTGAGCCCGGACACCTGCGCCACTAAAGCCTGAACAGCGCGAGCTGTGTCGTTGAGGTTCTTTTCTAGGTTATCCATCCGAAGTCTGCTGTTGTTCAGAAAGTCTTCCAGACTTTCTGACGGGTTTCTCGCTGCTTCCATTTGGGTCAGATCGTTCTGTAATGATAGAAACTCGGAAGTAAGATGCAAGTAAAAACTCAGTATTTATTATAAAGCAATGATGAAGCAAGAAAGAGTCCAGTGGTAACAGGCTAGCGGCGCAGGGACTCCAATGGTCAGATGAATCCGGTGAGTGAGGTGACGGAGAGTGCTGAACAAACAAGACGAATCCAGATAACGACCACAGGAACACGAACAGGAACACAAACAGGAACAACGAAGGCACGGGACTGGAACGCAGAGGGATCAATACAACCGGACATCACAAAACAACGATCTGACAATGGAGATGAGAAGTTGATGAGATATATACACAGGAATGGATAGACTGCAGCTGGTGATGAGGTAATGAGTGATTGCTGAACGAGCGCTGATGAGCGGCCACGCCCCTCTGATCAGCGCACACACATACAACAACAGAGACACGAGACAAGAAGAAGACATAGGATTTACCAACCGTGACATGCGTGATATAAAGTCGCAATTGTTATAAAGTCAGAATTGCGTGATGTAAAGTCGCAATTGTTATAAAGTCAGAATTGCGTGATGTAAAGTCGCAATTGTTATAAAGTCAGAATTGGGTGATATAAAGTCGCAATTGTTATAAAGTCAGAATTGCGTGATATAAAGTCGCAATTGTTATAAAGTCAGAATTGCGTGATGTAAAGTCGCAATTGTTATAAAGTCAGAATTGCGTGATGTAAAGTCGCAATTGTTATAAAGTCAGAATTGCGTGATGTAAAGTCGCAATTGTTATAAAGTCAGAATTGGGTGATATAAAGTCGCAATTGTTATAAAGTCAGAATTGCGTGATATAAAGTCGCAATTGTTATAAAGTCAGAATTGCGTGATATAAAGTCGCAATTGTTATAAAGTCAGAATTGCGTGATATAAAGTCGCAATTGTTATAAAGTCAGAATTGCGTGATGTAAAGTCGCAATTGTTATAAAGTCAGAATTGGGTGATATAAAGTCGCAATTGTTATAAAGTCAGAATTGCGTGATATAAAGTCGCAATTGTTATAAAGTCAGAATTGGGTGATGTAAAGTCGCAATTGTTATAAAGTCAGAATTGGGTGATATAAAGTCGCAATTGTTATAAAGTCAGAATTGCGTGATGTAAAGTCGCAATTGTTATAAAGTCAGAATTGCGTGATGTAAAGTCGCAATTGTTATAAAGTCAGAATTGGGTGATATAAAGTCGCAATTGTTATAAAGTCAGAATTGCGTGATATAAAGTCGCAATTGTTATAAAGTCAGAATTGCGTGATGTAAAGTCGCAATTGTTATAAAGTCAGAATTGGGTGATATAAAGTCGCAATTGTTATAAAGTCAGAATTGCGTGATATAAAGTCGCAATTGTTATAAAGTCAGAATTGCGTGATATAAAGTCGCAATTGTTATAAAGTCAGAATTGCGTGATATAAAGTCGCAATTGTTATAAAGTCAAAAATGCGTGATATAAAGTCGCAACACACAATGTATGTTACTTTTGCTGTAACGCTGTGCAACATATCGCTCGTCCTCACATTTCTGTGCATTTAAGATATTAACTAGACATTGTCTTCCATCGTTTTAAAACATTAAAATCTTGTTTTTCTATAAAGAACACTTGTATCAGATGCAACTCTTTTTATTGTTTCCACAGGCTTCTTAAATAAATCTGACAAAACACATGAATCGCATTAATAACAGCATGTTTGTGTATTGAATCTTACAGTAAAAGCTAAATGTCATTTAAATTTGACATTTCAAAGAACATTTTTTCAGTGGAAACACAATTAGCAAACAGAGGTTACATTCATGCTTTAGCCAAAGCACATCGATCGTGTCCTTAAATAAATGCTGGAGGAGAGAGAAAGTGTGTGTGTGTGTGTGAGAGAGAGAGTGAGATGCTTGTTCAATAGCAGTTGCTCAGCACTTGTTGACACACGCATTCTCATTCTCCTTGTTCTGTTTCCTCGTCCCTCATTAGAGGTCATTAACTGTATTAATGAGGTTTCCTCTGTCCAGGTCATCGAGGACTGGAAGTATGTGGCCATGGTGGTGGACCGCTTGTTTCTGTGGATCTTCGTGATCGTGTGTGTGGTGGGAACTCTGGGTCTGTTCCTCCAGCCACTCTTCCAGAACCAGGGCGTTCCCATCCAGGAGAACCCCAAACGGGACGGCGTATGACGAACACTCTCTGTGACTGAGACGTTATTCTGAGACTCTGAGAGGGAACTGATTTCCACTATTGTAATCTGTAGATCAGGAACCATCGGACCCAGAAGACGCTCAGATGCACTCGTGGCACTAAATGGAACTGCAGAAATTATTATTGTTTTCATACAGATTTCACTCCCCTTGTCTGCCATTGGTCAGATAAAGCATTTAACCCCACCCACCGACTCACTCTATTGGTTGAGCCATTGTTAGTCACTTTTTGTTTAACCTTTCAAGGAAATAAACCTACAAATGACCCATTTAGTCTCTGCATATTAAGCTGGGATAATATTATTTTAATGTGAACAGAAATTACACACTTTTAATTATCCTAAATGTGTTTACACTGAAAAAAAAATGTGTGTTTGTTTTTACTTAGAAATTGCTTGTTAATTTCACAAATAATTACAAAGAAACGGCAAGTAAGACATTGAATTAAATGGGCTTTTTTAAGTAGACTGACATCGTATTTTCCAATAGTCTTAATAGTCTTTAATTTACAATTTCGAAAAATCATTTTACAGTGTTGCAACTTGTAACTCTTTTTGTTCTATTAGAGCTCCTTTAGGCTTGAAATTAATTGTAAAAGTAGCAAAACAAAACACCAGAATCTCATCAATAACACTGTGTATTCACTGGGTTTATGAGACAAGGTTATTAAATAACCACACATACACACACACACACACACACACACACTCTCTCTCTCTCTTTCTGGGATCTCTTTTTGTTTTCAGAGGTGAGACTGTGTTTTGTTTTCTACAGACTTTTCATTTAATACCACACATTTTGTCTTATGGACCAAGTTATTCTTTATGTATTGTGATATGAAGGATGTGCACAGTTTGATTTTTGTTGTGTCCATAATGCATGCTGTAATTGATGAGATTCGTGTTTTTGTCAGATTTATTTGTGGAAGGTAACTTGTGCAATCCATTATAAACTTAAAAGAAGCCTGTGGACACGATAACACTTACAGAAAGAGTTGCATCTGATACAAGTATTCTTTATAGAAAAGCAAGATTGTCCATGTCCATTATGGGAAAGTCTTACTTAAATAAAACTAAAATCGTATTTATGTGTGGATGCTTTAGTTGGAAAGGAAGGATGACCTACTGTCCATCATTTAATCCCAGTGTCAGTGGGAGTGTGTTCTGCACACGCTTTTATCAGTTTTATTTCTCATTTTCTGTATTTGAGAGCTGTCCTGAAACGGACTCATGAGGTGACCAGTCCTGCATCATCAGTGTGTATAGCGCCACCTGTTGGCCAAGGCAGATCTCTGTCTGTCACACACTGTGTTTGAGTGTCATCTAACCCAATGCATCATTCACCGTGCAAAACACCACATCTCCTTATCCAGTGGCAGCTTACCACAGGTTACCACAGATTACCACAGGTTACTGTAAGTGTAGGAGATTGTTATATTTCCCGCAGCTCTTTGAAACACAAGGATGGAGAACATTAGCATAACTGTGATATGGAGGTTATCTCATATAATACTGAGACAGAGAGCAAATTGGCTTGAACAATACCCAGGTAATAAAGTTGTGACAGCCAGAGATTAGCTTAATATGTGTTCATCTATACACTGCTTTGCAGGATCATCTTCTGTTGGATTAGAGCCATTTCCATTTCCAGGTTTTTTGACAAATATAGTTGGACTTTGCTCTGAGGTAAAACATTCTCGAACAATATTAAATGTGTGTCTTCATGGTAAAACTATATAAAATCCTCCTCCATTCTCTTGAAGTCATAGTCTGGCGTTGCGTGTTTAAGATGGCATATCAAGTTACATTTAGTTTTAAAAACGCGCATTTTCGTTTCAACGAATATAATCGCTACTGGTGCATATAATCAATTGCCTTTACCTTTCTGATCAAACCTGACATTAAACCCAAAGAAAGAGCTCGTTTCCATTCTGGAGAGAGTGACTGACAGCTGCTCTGCACACACACACACACACGCACACGCACGCACTCTCTCTCTCTCTCTCTCTCTCTCTCTCTCTCTCTCTCTCTCTCTCTCTCTCTCTCTCTCTCTCTCTCTCTCTCTCTCGCTCTCTCTCACACACAGACACACACACACACACACACACACACACACTCTCTCGCTCTCTCCCTCTCTCTCTCACACACACACACACACACACACTCTCTCTCGCTCTCTCTCTCTCTCTCACACACACACACACTCTCTCTCTCTCGCTCTCTCTCTCTCACACACACACACACACACACACACACACACTCTCTCTCTTTCTCTCGCTCCCTCTCTCTCTATCTCTCTCTCTATCTATCTCTCTCTCTCTCTCTCTCTCTCTCTCTCTCTGCGCGCTCACGCTGCGCGCGCACTGGACTCTCCTGATTGTTATCAGCATTATTCTCCGGACTGTACGATGAAAGCCAGAGCGATCGTAATTTTCCACACTTGCTATTTTCTGTTTTCTCTTCTGTCAGGTGAGTAACACAACTAATGCCCTAATCCGAATTATCGGATACTTGTTGCTGTTTATTGGAATATATTGTGTATATGCTGTCTATGAGCGACTCAATGTTAGTTTCAAGAGAGCAAATGAGACAGATAATGACAGACTGACCAAATTAACGAGTCGGCTTATTTATTGAGCGTAATGGCCAAAGTGTGTGTGTTTCGTGTAGTTTGGACTTTTAACCATTAATTCCCGCTGGTCGCAGAAAAAAAAGAATTTCTCGAAATACACGTTTCCTTGTTTTTTGTGGCAACTTCCCCAATATGCTTCCACACTGTATGGGGTCAAATGTCACAATGAAAACAGTTTGTTTTTTGTTTTGTATTTGTTTACATCTTTTAGGCACAATAAAGATACTAAACTGGAAAAATATATTTTTTTATCATCAGATTTTTTTTAAAATTCTTTATCATTCACTATTCAAAGTGCAGTTTAACATTAGTAAAATTCAAAAAATATGTATGCGTGCATTTACGTCTCACAACAAATCAAATCTGAAGTTTTAACATTTGATTACTTGTAATCAGGATTATATGATTTTCAAGATAAAGGTTTCAAGACGCTGTCTTGTTATTAGTTATTAATAACTTTGTTATTGCTTACACAATATCAAGCGCTTTGCTGCATTCCTCATGTGTGAGCCAGATCTGCTAAATGAATGTAAGTTGATGAGTGTGTGTGTTCAGATCCTCAGATCCTGCAAGTAATGTAATGTAGTGGTGTGTGTGTTTCTCTGCTGGTCCTGCTGTCTCTGGGCAGATGCTGGGGTTTCCGGCTCTGATGCTGAGCACAGGCTGTTCTCCATCATCTTCTCCAGTTATAACCAGTACATCAGACCAGTGGAGAACGTGTCCGACCCGGTCGTGGTCCAGTTTGAGGTGTCCATGTCACAACTAGTCAAAGTGGTGAGTGTCTGCTTCTGTCAGTGTCCTCCTGTGAAGAGCTTCCATCAGTCATGATGAGTTCAAAGAGCAAGTGCTTTTCACTCCAGAAGCCTTGACCTCTAACCTCTGACCTCAGGCATGACTCAGTCGTGATTTAGCTAAAGCTCCTCATCTAACCTGTAGTGTGACCCCCACATCTCACTTCTTTTAATACAGTTTCTATCAAGCCTTTTCTCCTTTGTTCTTTCATGGTTTAATTCAACTTGATGAAGGTTTCTGTAATGTAGAATGGAGTAAGCTCGCCACAAAAAGAGGCATTTTCACTATTTCTGTGAATCCAATCATGTCTGTTCGATATGCTTTAAAGTTTTTAGGGAGGTAATTTCATAAATTTTGGGTTTGAAGGATAAACAACAACAACAATAAAAAGAATGAGTTGTGTAATATCGCAGAGGAAGTCTGCAGCAACATTACTGGACTGATGTTATACTTGGCATTCGAATGGATGAAACATTTTGGCTCCTATTGTAATAGATAGCACTAAAACGAAGTGTATCATGCACAAGTTGTCAGTTTGATTGGTCATAAATTAAGTTTCAACAAATCAAAATGGTTTCATTAGCTGTGTTTCCATCCAAAGTTGTGAATTTACCTTGTGCACAATATTAGAATATGGCATAACCACCAAACCAACATTTGAGATGCTGCGATGCGATTGGTCCGCTGGTTAGTCCAGTTGTCCAATCACAGCCTCTGCTGGGTTTCTTCTTGCACATCGAGGGATTGATTCAGTAAAGGTATTTCCATTGCAGTTTATGCATGTCTTCTTATCGGAAGAAAATGCCTCAATTGAGTGTGTACAGGCATTTCTAGAACTCCATCCAGTGTTTCTTTTTAGGCAATATCCCAAAATGTGCATTTAAATATGGACCATAGCATTTGATTGTGAGTGTCCAACTTATTTGAGCATTAAAGACTCCTGTAGAACTGATTTGAAGACTCCTGTAGAACTGATTTGAAGACTCCTGTAGAACTGATTTGAAGACTCCTGTAGAACTGATTTGAAGACTCCTGTAGAACTGATTTGAAGACTCCTGTAGAACTGATTTGAAGACTCCTGTAGAACTGATTTAAAGACTCCTGTAGAACTGATTTAAAGACTCCTGTAGAACTGATTTAAAGACTCCTGTAGAACTGATTTAAAGACTCCTGTAGAACTGATTTGAAGACTCCTGTAGAACTGATTTGAAGACTCCTGTAGAACTGATTTGAAGACTCCTGTAGAACTGATTTAAAGACTCCTGTAGAACTGATTTAAAGACTCCTGTAGAACTGATTTGAAGACTCCTGTAGAACTGATTTAAAGACTCCTGTAGAACTGATTTAAAGACTCCTGTAGAACTGATTTAAAGACTCCTGTAGAACTGATTTGAAGACTCCTGTAGAACTGATTTGAAGACTCCTGTAGAACTGATTTGAAGACTCCTGTAGAACTGATTTAAAGACTCCTGTAGAACTGATTTAAAGACTCCTGTAGAACTGATTTGAAGACTCCTGTAGAACTGATTTGAAGACTCCTGTAGAACTGATTTGAAGACTCCTGTAGAACTGATTTAAAGACTCCTGTAGAACTGATTTAAAGACTCCTGTAGAACTGATTTGAAGACTCCTGTAGAACTGATTTGAAGACTCCTGTAGAACTGATTTAAAGACTCCTGTAGAACTGATTTGAAGACTCCTGTAGAACTGATTTAAAGACTCCTGTAGAACTGATTTGAAGACTCCTGTAGAACTGATTTGAAGACTCCTGTAGAACTGATTTAAAGACTCCTGTAGAACTGATTTGAAGACTCCTGTAGAACTGATTTGAAGACTCCTGTAGAACTGATTTGAAGACTCCTGTAGAACTGATTTGAAGACTCCTGTAGAACTGATTTGAAGACTCCTGTAGAACTGATTTAAAGACTCCTGTAGAACTGATTTGAAGACTCCTGTAGAACTGATTTAAAGACTCCTGTAGAACTGATTTGAAGACTCCTGTAGAACTGATTTGAAGACTCCTGTAGAACTGATTTAAAGACTCCTGTAGAACTGATTTGAAGACTCCTGTAGAACTGATTTGAAGACTCCTGTAGAACTGATTTGAAGACTCCTGTAGAACTGATTTAAAGACTCCTGTAGAACTGATTTAAAGACTCCTGTAGAACTGATTTGAAGACTCCTGTAGAACTGATTTGAAGACTCCTGTAGAACTGATTTAAAGACTCCTGTAGAACTGATTTGAAGACTCCTGTAGAACTGATTTAAAGACTCCTGTAGAACTGATTTAAAGACTCCTGTAGAACTGATTTAAAGACTCCTGTAGAACTGATTTGAAGACTCCTGTAGAACTGATTTAAAGACTCCTGTAGAACTGATTTAAAGACTCCTGTAGAACTGATTTAAAGACTCCTGTAGAACTGATTTGAAGACTCCTGTAGAACTGATTTGAAGACTCCTGTAGAACTGATTTGAAGACTCTTGTAGAACTGATTTGAAGACTCCTGTAGAACTGATTTGAAGACTCCTGTAGAACTGATTTGAAGACTCCTGTAGAACTGATTTAAAGACTCCTGTAGAACTGATTTGAAGACTCCTGTAGAACTGATTTGAAGACTCCTGTAGAACTGATTTAAAGACTCCTGTAGAACTGATTTGAAGACTCCTGTAGAACTGATTTGAAGACTCCTGTAGAACTGATTTGAAGACTCCTGTAGAACTGATTTGAAGACTCCTGTAGAACTGATTTAAAGACTCCTGTAGAACTGATTTGAAGACTCCTGTAGAACTGATTTAAAGACTCCTGTAGAACTGATTTGAAGACTCCTGTAGAACTGATTTGAAGACTCCTGTAGAACTGATTTAAAGACTCCTGTAGAACTGATTTGAAGACTCCTGTAGAACTGATTTGAAGACTCCTGTAGAACTGATTTGAAGACTCTTGTAGAACTGATTTGAAGACTCCTGTAGAACTGATTTGAAGACTCCTGTAGAACTGATTTGAAGACTCCTGTAGAACTGATTTGAAGACTCCTGTAGAACTGATTTAAAGACTCCTGTAGAACTGATTTAAAGACTCCTGTAGAACTGATTTGAAGACTCCTGTAGAACTGATTTAAAGACTCCTGTAGAACTGATTTGAAGACTCCTGTAGAACTGATTTGAAGACTCCTGTAGAACTGATTTAAAGACTCCTGTAGAACTGATTTGAAGACTCCTGTAGAACTGATTTGAAGACTCCTGTAGAACTGATTTAAAGACTCCTGTAGAACTGATTTAAAGACTCCTGTAGAACTGATTTGAAGACTCCTGTAGAACTGATTTGAAGACTCCTGTAGAACTGATTTAAAGACTCCTGTAGAACTGATTTGAAGACTCCTGTAGAACTGATTTAAAGACTCCTGTAGAACTGATTTAAAGACTCCTGTAGAACTGATTTAAAGACTCCTGTAGAACTGATTTGAAGACTCCTGTAGAACTGATTTAAAGACTCCTGTAGAACTGATTTAAAGACTCCTGTAGAACTGATTTAAAGACTCCTGTAGAACTGATTTGAAGACTCCTGTAGAACTGATTTGAAGACTCCTGTAGAACTGATTTGAAGACTCTTGTAGAACTGATTTGAAGACTCCTGTAGAACTGATTTAAAGACTCCTGTAGAACTGATTTGAAGACTCCTGTAGAACTGATTTGAAGACTCCTGTAGAACTGATTTAAAGACTCCTGTAGAACTGATTTGAAGACTCCTGTAGAACTGATTTGAAGACTCCTGTAGAACTGATTTGAAGACTCCTGTAGAACTGATTTGAAGACTCCTGTAGAACTGATTTGAAGACTCCTGTAGAACTGATTTGAAGACTCCTGTAGAACTGATTTGAAGACTCCTGTAGAACTGATTTGAAGACTCCTGTAGAACTGATTTGAAGACTCCTGTAGAACTGATTTAAAGACTCCTGTAGAACTGATTTGAAGACTCCTGTAGAACTGATTTGAAGACTCCTGTAGAACTGATTTAAAGACTCCTGTAGAACTGATTTGAAGACTCCTGTAGAACTGATTTGAAGACTCCTGTAGAACTGATTTAAAGACTCCTGTAGAACTGATTTGAAGACTCCTGTAGAACTGATTTGAAGACTCCTGTAGAACTGATTTGAAGACTCCTGTAGAACTGATTTGAAGACTCCTGTAGAACTGATTTAAAGACTCCTGTAGAACTGATTTGAAGACTCCTGTAGAACTGATTTGAAGACTCCTGTAGAACTGATTTGAAGACTCCTGTAGAACTGATTTGAAGACTCCTGTAGAACTGATTTAAAGACTCCTGCACACCCAGCGTGTGTTCTCCGGCAGCTGGAGGTCTCGTGTGCGTCACGACGGGACTCAGGTGTTCCTCGAAGAGCCGCTCATCTGTGACACACGCCTGGAGAACGATTGCTCATGACAGCATGTTTCTTCTTTAAGCTGTAAATATGAATCTAGAGCCTCGGGCGATCTCTCTGAGACTCTGTGTTCCTCTCTCCACAGGACGAGGTGAACCAGATCATGGAGACCAATCTCTGGCTGCGACATGTAAGCTCATGCATTATTCATTATTCATGCACGTCGAAGGGTCATTGATTCACTTAGATAACTCAACACAGTTGTATTCGCTATATCTTTGCGGTCACGATTGTTACAGGAATAAAGATGCGAGCTTCTCCTGTAAAACTGACGGCTGTGAATGCTTTACCTGTTAAATATGAATCATGAACAGACCTTTAATAGATAATAATAAGTAAAACCATGTCTGTCCACTTTATTGATAATTCAGATTCAGATTGATAATGCATTTCAGATCAGCAATACAATGTGTTAGATTTACAAACCATGCATATATAGTAAAAACCGGAGATCTGTTTTTAAAAGTTCAAATGATGTTATTTGAATAAATAGGAAAACGAGGCTGCCGTCACTTTAAGAAGTGAGCAGTGATGTCGACAAGTAAAGCTGGCGAGAACTATGATTATGATTACCTAATGATGATTAACCTACAATTCTAGCATAGTTTCTGACAATAATTGTGTTCTGTGGCTTGGTTTAAAACATTGAAGATTGTGTGAAACCGAGTTGATTGGGGTTTTATAAAGTGTTGAGCTCTGAAAGATTTGGAAATATGCTTTGTGTTTATGTGCATCTTTAATATCGCTTTAGTTTGAAGATTGGCATAAAAAAGGCTGATGATGATGATGATGATGATGATGATGATGTAGCAGCTGTAATCATCGGAACTTAAATTGATTACATTTACACTGAATATGTTTAAAGAAAATATTTTAGTATGATGTTGAGATATCAAAAAAATTGTTGCAATGAATGTCATCAAATAAATGTTTTCAATTATATTATGATTCTAACCACTATTACATTTTAAATATGCAAACATATTAGTCCAAACTCATTATTACTGCTTTATAAGTAAACGTTCTCCAGGACACGAGGATTGTGATCTCAGTCATGTTGATTCCCTGATGTCTAATTGTCTATTATTTTTAATTAAATGAAGTTTAAACTTAAACAAGACAGCTTAAGATTGCCAGAAATAAAGGAAGTGCATCTCATCATTTGTTTATAGAGTGATTATGTGAAGAGGATTTCTTAAAAACTAGATGTACTACAGCAAAGATGGCCTGATCGAATGAAGCATCGTGATCTTCTGGAGAGAAGACAATTCATTCTCCTGGGTGCCAAGTCTTACAAAATATTTTAGCAACTGACCTAGAGAATAGAAATAACTATAAAACTCTGCATCTATTAACAGTGTCAGACGGGATCGGTGTATTATCACTGGATGTCCTTTCTGCAGAGACCGGGTTTGCTGTTGCTCTGAGACGATCTGGAGAATAATAAAGGAGAGGATGGCTTATGGCCATGTCTTTGAGACACACTTAATATCTTAATGTCAAACGCTCGTGCCAGAATCCAGCAGCCCTTCACAAACTGTGCTCAACTATATTACTCAGCAAATACTGAGGAAGGAATTTAAAATATAAAACATACTTAAAAATAACTTGTATATAGGTTTTTAAATTGCTATTTTACACTATTTCAACTTGTTTGCCGTTACCTTGGCATACTAAATGTAAATCAGCATTATACACTAGCCTGATGCAAATATAATGTTCTTCTAATGGTCAAAAGTTTTCTAAATGTTTTAAATAAGCTTTTTCTTGGTTATATGAAACATTGTATCATTCTTTTTGAATGTTCTCTGAACGCTCTGAAACAAGTAACATTTTAAAAAAAAAGATCCAACTAAAATGTTTCAGGAAAAAAACCTTCCATGAACGATGTATAAATAACGTTTTTGTTCTAACGTTTTGAGAGTGTTATTAAAGACCACATAACTGTTATATTAGCGTTACTGGAAGAACGTAGAGAACCTTCCCTGATATTGTGTGCATAACGCCTCTGAACTCTCGCTGATCTCCGTAGATCTGGAATGATTATAAGCTGAGGTGGAATCCCAAGGACTTCGGAGGGGTCGAGTTTATCCGTGTTCCCTCCAAGAAGATCTGGAAGCCGGACATTGTGTTGTACAACAAGTAAGTGTGCCGGATCCGTTCCGCTCCTCGTTTCATCATTACGGGTGTAGCGATTCCCTCGCGACACGACTCGACACACATCACGACACTGAACTCACCGTACCGGATCACTGCGATACTGCAAGAAAGGTTAACAAAAAAATATTAAAATGCCCAATTTGGTGTTACATTGAGTGTGTGAATGAACAGGCTTGGACTCAGTGCTGAAACCCAAAGCACAGGACAATAGACACACCAGAATAACAATAATCATGATTCTGAAGCTGAAAATACAGAATTATTTTAGACGAATATGCTTGATCTCTGTCACTGACTAGATATATTTACATTAATGTCGGACTTTTTACTGGTATCATCAGACATGTGGCATTATCAGGACACACAGATATGCATTATTATGCATTATATTCAACATTATACATAGCAGTTTAATGCAGTACTGACACTAAAACTCTTGAAAACTTGAATTTTTTCTCGCACAATCATTTTCATTTTGGTTGAACTATCCACGAGACATGTCGTTGCAGTTTTGTATGTCGGCTGTATTGTGCCGGCCCTCGTCCTCACGATCTGCCTCTGTTCCCGAAACCGCAGTGCTGTGGGAGATTTCCAGGTGGACGATAAAACGAAAGCTCTTCTGCGCTTCAACGGAGACGTGACCTGGATCCCACCGGCCATCTTCAAGAGCTCCTGCAAGATCGACGTCACATACTTCCCGTTCGACTACCAGAACTGCACCATGAAGTTCGGCTCGTGGACCTACGACAAGGCCAAGATCGACCTGGTGCTCATCGGCTCCACCATCAACCTCAGCGAGTTCTGGGAGAGCGGCGAGTGGACGATCATCGACGCGCCCGGATACAAACACGACATCAAGTATAACTGCTGCGAGGAGATCTACACGGACATCACGTACTCGCTCTACATCCGCCGGCTGCCCCTGTTCTACACCATCAACATGATCATCCCCTGTTTGCTGATCTCGTTCCTCACGGTCCTGGTGTTCTACCTGCCCTCGGACTGCGGCGAGAAGATCACGCTGTGCATCTCCGTGCTGCTCTCGCTCACGGTGTTCCTGCTGGTGATCACCGAAACCATCCCGTCCACGTCTCTCGTCATCCCTCTGATCGGAGAGTACCTCCTGTTCACCATGATCTTCGTCACGCTCTCCATCGTGATCACGGTGTTCGTGCTGAACGTGCACTACCGCACGCCGAAGACGCACACCATGCCGGGTTGGGTGAGGCGGGTCTTCCTCGGTCTGCTCCCGCGGGTCATGTTCATGACGAGGCCTGGGACCGACCCGGAGAGACCCGGGAGACCGTGTGCTCTTCACGCTCCAGCTTCCCCTGGTGAGAAACATGTATGCTAAGTATACCGAGGGTGCTTTCACATCTGCAGTTCGGTTAGTTTGGTCCGGACCAAGGGCGGAAAATGATACTTTCAGGCGTTTTGGTTCCTTTTCACACCGCACCGATTGCTCTGGTCCGAATCAGTTGATGAGTTGATGAAACAAACCAAAACGCAGTGGCGTGACAGCATCCACATCACTCGCTGGCCAGATGTGTCTCCACAACTGCACTCCGATTGGTCAGAATTAACGTGCGGGGAGATTCCACTTCATTTAACTTGAAGTGTGCTATTTTGAAACCACTAATTTTGTACTAAGTATATTTTAGTTGTAATTAAGTTGTTGTAAAGCATAACTTTAAGTGTATTTAGTGTGCTAAATTGGAACAACTTCAACTATACTTTAAGTATGTGCCTGTGTAGGGACTAATTACATGCTTGATTAGTGATATTAAAGTGTACTTTATTTGTGTTACAAGTACATTATAAATTCATTGCGAGTGTCTTTGAAACATACAAGCAATATACCATAAGTGTATTATATTTGAGTAAAGAGTATATGCTCAGTTATACTTTTGGCTTATTCCAAATACTACAAATTGCGCACATTGGGTCTCATTCATGAAACATTCGTAAATATACGAGTAAATATGCGAGTGATTTGCGCGTAAAGAGACATTCCTGAAAACTCATCTCCTGATTCACAAATACTTCATAAACGTCAGATGAGAGAGTGAAATGTGTGTGTTAATGAATTCCAATCAGTCGTAAATGGGACGCGCGTGCACGCTCATTCTCAATTACCATAAATCCCGCCCATTAAATCCGACTGACAACTATATGTGGGCATCTTATGACATGAATGCGAATGAAAAAAAATTCTCAGATGCAGAAATTGAAGTTTTATTATCAGAAGTTCATTCAAAACGCCACATTTTATTTTCAAGCGTACATAGTGGCGTATCGGGTCCTAAAAAAAAAGCAAGCTTGGCAGCATTACAGATGCAGTTACTGGAGTTTCATCTGTTAATCGAACTCTCCCAGAAGTGAGAAGAAAATGGTTCGACATTAAGCTTGAGAGCAAAAAACGAATTAATTCACTTCGGAAAAATAGTATTCAAACTGGAGAAGGACCACCATCGCAGATGCTATGGCTCTCATAATAAGAAAAACCGTATGTAATTACTATATATAATACTTTTTCAAAATGCTGTGCAAATATGTTCCCTGATGAAGGTGAATTAAAATGCAGCCTTATTAATGAGCAAAACGTTCGGGTGTTAAGCGCACTATTTACACGTGGCTGGGAGCAGGTGTAGATTTCTTTCGTACCAACTAACATTAGGAAAATACGAACATTTTAATGAATCCGAAAATTTACGCCAGAACCACTTTACACACGATTTACACAAAAATTCGTTCTGCTTGTGTTTCATGAATGAGACCCATTGTCTTCAATAACAAAGGCACATTAATAATATTACTTAGCTTTGTGCAATATACTATTGTATACTATAATGTATTTTAGAATATACTTTCAATGCATTGTTACAATGATCATTTCCAACACACAGTTAAAAATATACCTAAACTATATTTTTCAGTAAAGTTTAAATAAATACACTTTTAAAAAATAAACTGAATTTTCATTTCAAGTATATTTTTTCTAAATTATATTTTTAGAAAATATATTAAAGTACAATTATTTTAAAGTGTGTTAAAAGTTGTATTGTGAAAACAGGTAAAGCACGATGCTAATATACTTTTAATATGTAGTACAATTTTTGTTAATATATTTGCAATGTAATATTGAAAAAGGGAATATATTTCAAATATAATAAAGCAGTGTTACTCATCGCCAAGCTTTAATATGTGGCTTGCGTGGCGGTGAATAATACAGTGATATGATCATGCAGTCAATATTCAGATATTTCATATAAAAACAAGTAGGGTTATATATTCTGGGATGAATATATTCTAGAAATCCTGCTTTTTTTGTCATCTTGTCTCAGTTACAAATTTGACCGGTAAATCATAATGAATGATTTTTTTCCCTGCCGTTTTGTATTTATTGCATTGCATATTGTATGTTCATGGATGACAGATTGATAAGTGGACCTGGTGTTGATGTCTGGACGTAACTTTCGATACTCTCGCTCTGACTCTGAAGCAGGGAAGTGTCCTCTGTGCCCAGGCTCCAGCGCTCCGGGCCCGCTCCTGTGCTCGACCGAGCTCCACAGCCTGGCCGCCGCGGGGCTCCTGCGGGGAGAGTGCCGATGCTCCTGTTGCTGGAACCCTCACGGCACCAGCGGCGCGGGAGAAGACGGAGGAGCGAGTCCCAGCTCCAGCTCCCAGTCCTCGGATGGGCTTCTGTGCGCCTCCACTCTCTCGCCGCGGGTCAGAGAGGCCATCGAGAGCGTCAAGTACATCGCAGAGACCATGAGGCTTCAGAACGAGGCCGAGGAGGTGAGAGAGCCGCGCACATGTGGCCGAGCGAGCGCGCAAAATGACCCTAGGGGTTAATAACACACGGGTACAGAGTCCACCGTTCTCTAGTATATAGGGCATAGAGTAAGTCAAAATAAAAATGGCTAGTTAATACCACTAACAAGGCTCAAAATAGCCCCACACTAACACGGCAGCATAATGAGGGTCCCTATGCAAATCTCCGGAAGAGTCCATTATAGGGTTAGTTCACCCAAAAATGAAAATGATGTCATTAATGCCTCTCCCTCATGTCGTTCCAAGCCCGTCAGACCTCCGTTCATCTTCAGGACACAGTTTAAGATATTTTAGATTTAGTCCGAGAGCTTTCTGTCCCTCCATTGTAAATGTATGTACGGTATACTGTCCTTGTCCAGAAAGGAAATAAAGACATCATCAAAGTAGTCCATGTGACATCAGTGGGTTAGTTAGAGTGTGTTGAAGCATCGGAAATACATTTTGGTCCAAAAATAACAAAAACTAGGACTTTATTCAGCATTGTATTGTCTTCCGGTTCTGTTGTGGATCCGCGTTCAGTGCCGCTGCTGACGTGTGTCTGGTGTGTGTGTGTGTGTGTGTGTGTGTGTTCCGGTTCTGTTGTGGATCCGCGTTCAGTGCCGCTGCTGACGTGTGTCTGGTGTGTGTGTGTGTGTGTGTGTGTGTGTGTTCCGGTTCTGTTGTGGATCCGCGTTCAGTGCCGCCGCTGACGTGTGTCTACATTTGAAGTGGATCAACAAAAGTGAATCAAAGTTGCCCTAAAACAAGAACGGGTATTGTTCAAAATTCATGTATGACTTTGATGAAAGGTTTTGATCCACTTCAAATGTTGACTACTGTATTTATATATAGGCCTATTATATTAAATTTGTTTACACAAAAATTGATATTTGCCAGTAAGATGATATTTAATGATTAGTTTAATGATCAAAGCTCTGTAGTTTTAAAACTAATTCCTCAAAAGCCAGATGATCATATTTGAAATACTCATGATTTTTATAAGAAATGATGATGGATAATCAAGTAAACCTCAGTTGCTTCTGTCCAGTTGAAATATTACTAACAATATCAAAGTTATGTTTACCTTTACAGTGCAGTTTTGACCGCAGAAAGACACGTGAAGCACAAGCTGAAGGAGGACGTCTGTACAATTATACTAAAATACTTGATAAAGAGTCTAAAGAATCCATCAGACGACAGAAGGCCAGAATGAGATTGAGTGCGACGGGTTCTTCAGAGCTTTGCTGATGGATTATGTCTTGCTCTCCGGCTCTCGTCTCCGCAGGTCCAGGACGACTGGAAGTACGTTGCCATGGTGATCGACCGGATCTTCCTGTGGGTGTTTGTGCTGGTGTGTATTCTGGGAACGGCCGGGCTCTTTCTCCAGCCGCTGCTGTTGGCCGAGGACATGTGACGCACACTTTCAATCTCAACACTTTGATAGTCGGAATCAAATTTTAGCAACCCTAACAATGCATTTTTTACATATTTATATCATGCGTCGTTTAGAGCTGAATGCAAAGAGTCGCTGGACCTCGAAGGGTTAAATGGATCATCATCATCATGGACTTTAGGAAGGGTTCTCTGCACCCGTTAGTAGCCGTTACCTTAAACACGGCTAAAAACAGCGTCTTAACAGAATAATTCACCCAAAAGTGGACATTTATTTGCTCTCGAGTTGTTCATAAGACGGTGTCATTTTTTCTTTTCTGGTTCCAGAAATTTAGTATTTTGAAGAAATCTCACACAGGTCTTTTCCATAGTTCATATTACAACAGAATACAGAATCTTGTTTCCAACACGAAATAAAAAATAATTGCGACTTTTTATCTGACAATTCTGACTTTTTTTTTCAGAAACAGAATTGTGTTTTGTTGTGTTTTGTTTTTAAAGTCAGAATTGCCAGATAAAAAGTAGTATTTTTTTATTGTGGTAATAGGTTTCCATACCAAAATGGCAAAAAGGTAGTCTGTGCAACTCTGCTTTTGTCTTCCAGGGAAAAATAAAAGCATACAGCATTTTTTATATATTTATTATCCCTTTAAAGTGTATTCAAATGTGACAACTCGAGATATGGCTGCTGTTTTTTGTCATTTATGATCATTTTGTTACATTATAAAAAAAAATGATCTAACAAAAAAACCTGTTAGACTTTTTTTTCTTTTATAAAGACTTATAAAAAGTCCAATCTCTTTATGCTCACACTTGCTTCCAGCGCCACCTAGTGGTTACTTTGAGCAAGTCCCAGAGAGCTGGTCAGTAATGGGTTTCTAAAACTATCAATGCAATCCGATGTTGTTTTCCCAACATGTAATAATTGTCTGTTCACTGTACATGTTGATATATTCTTAATGTAAAACTTTGATGCACATTTCCAACCTTTCAAGCAATCCTGCAAATAAAAGAAACACTGAGAACTATGAACATCTTCTGTTCTTCTGTCCACGAAGAAAACGATTTATCTTTGTTCTCGTGAGAATTATGCATTTCACACTCATATCTGCCTTTGGCTGCATTGACATCGATCACATCTTTCTAACACACTGTAAAGTAGCGTCATACACCCGTCTCTGAAGACACGACAGAGAGTTCACAGCCCTCATAACACAGTAAACCAGATCTTCCTGGAAGTGGCATTTAGGCGGAATAAAGCAAACTGACATCCAGACAATATAAAGATCATATTCACAACTTTATAGCAACCTATTAATAATAGCAACAGTGTGTTGTATTGAATTACATCTTCATTTGTACATCTCTACCGAGGCTCATTCAAAGGTTTCTCAGTTCAGTTATTTTTCATCTGCTTACACACATTTAAAAAACTTTGCCTCTTTTTTCTCAAAACTTTACACACAAATCCAACAATTGCACACAGAATGTAAAATGCCTCACATCTCTTGCTAAATGAAGCACTGCATTCAGAAAATCACACACATCTCAAAAGCAAACATTTGTCTTGCGTTGCAAACACTTTTGCCATAATATTATATTTTGGGATATATCATACACACACAGTTATTCAAAACCTAAAGCTTTTCTTTCATGAGCTCCTGTTTCTGTTCAAGATTGAAAGTGTCTGGCAGAGATGTTGAAAAATTCACGGTAAACACGAAAGCAAGATTGAAACCAAACCTTTTGTTTTCTTACTGTAAGCATTTCTGGTTGTGAATACAGTATTACACAGTCCGAAAAACCCATAACTCGACCTTTGACCTTTTATAGGCCTATTCTAAAGCACTGATTGGTTGGGATTCAGTAAAGCAATGAGTGTTTGCACATGTGAGGAGTGTGTGTGTGTGAGGAGTGTGTGTGAGGCTCTGATGAATTACTGTGGTGTTTTGATAGGTTGTGTTTGAAAAAGGAAATCGAGAGACTTCCTGTTAGATTGTTGTGTTACAGAGAAGTGTGTGTTGTGGTTTGCAAAAAGTGTTTTATGAAATTGAAAACTGAGTCGAAGGCTGAGAATTATTGTATGGTTTTGCAGATTTGGTGTGTGTTTCTGGTGTTTGAGTGTCAGGTTTCAGAAATCGTGTGGCAAGTAAGGATTTTGTGTGTAAGGAGTTGAAAAAAACTGTAAAAATAAAAAGGGGTTATGATCACCTTCAGGCAATACACGCAAATGTTCTGCAAGATGAAGGTTTTACATGAAACATTGAATTTGCCTTTTAATATCAGATGTGAACATTTGCACACCGACAAAACAAGTTTTTCTCTCCCTTCAGTTGCTAATTTTATTATTCATCTTAGTATACTTATACTGGCATGTTGACAAGATTTGACTTAATAACCGACATCATGCTTGTGATGTAAACGACATTAGTTTCTCTCGGGCACATCAGATGGACTTTGAATTAGGCATTAAAGTACAAAACCTTATGCAATAATGTTGAAGCTGTTTTCAAGTCTGTGCTCTTGCTAACAGCGCAAACCCAGAGAACACAACCACTGAAGTGCCACAAATATAATCAAATCCAACAACAGCTTTATGTAACCTTTCCAGATGTTAAGCAAGTCTTATGCAAATTCATTAATTGAAACTAAATAGTCATAAACTGTTTGTGATATGGAGGAACTATAATGGGCTGCAAATGTTGTTAAAACACAAATTTAGTTAATTCTGTAATTGATATTTAGCCAAATGTATTGCTTGATTCTGATTAAGAAACATTCTTTGATTGAACTGTACAGTAAGTGCCACAAACCACATACCAGTTTACAGTGATTTTTAGTCAAGGAGTTTTATTGGAAATCCTTCTTAGATGAGATGTGTATGTGTAGAGCTTTACGAAAGAACAGTTTCCTGGATGCTGCCGTTCAAGCTTTTCACTTTATGAACTTATGAGAATTCTGCTGACTGAGCAAAGCATTTGATAGTCAAAATCACAGCTCTGCCCTCCGGCTGGAACCGGTCTGGTTAAAATGCTATATTGGTTCTGGTTCACATGCTATAAATTATACAACTGTCACACTCCTTCTTGAGATCATGTAACTACATTAATGAGCTGAACTAATCAATACATCGTTAACAACGAGGAGACACAACCTTGAAAAGATTTAACAATACTATTGTTCAGTAAAAAAAGCAGTAAATGCACGCTGTACTCGATGAACATTAGAGGACTGGAACTTTTAAGCAAAAACAAACATGGGTTTTGGCTTGATTACTATTCTTAAACATTGAATGATTGATGCATAATTCTAGGTTGGTGTGAAAACCGGCCAAGCTCAAGATGAAGAAACATGCATTATGATTGTTTTTATATTCTAACTTGCCAACCAGGAGCTCTGCTGTACAAGCTTAACATGTTGGATGTGTTAGGCCTTGCGAGGTAAACGTAGCCTAATGGACCTGACCCTGTCTATCACCAACTGCTCTTGATGTGGTTCATTTAGCAGTTTAATACAGTTTAATAAAATGTTAAAGAAAATGAAATATATATGTTCAGAAAGCCTTTCAGCTTTGTGCAATTCAGGGGACTTAATTATATACAGTTCCCCAAACACTAGTTTGAGAAATCCTGACATAATGTACTAAAAATCAAAAAAGGGGGACTCCAAGGCACTCTCAATTGAAAAAGTTAAAAAGCCTTTATTCTTATGGCTTGGTCAAATTAACCATCTACAAAAACTCCAACGCGTTTCGGCTACATGCCTTCTTCTGGGAGTCAAACTGACCTCACACAAACAGAGTAATGTACTGTTTAATGCACTTAATTTTTTCTTCATTTTAGATATTATTCAAATTAATGTTAGAAACAAGTTAGGTCAAAAGTAATCTAAAAGTAATAAAAGTAGTCTATTTATGTATATTACCTAAAATGTGTAATGTAATAGATTTTTATCATGTAATTTGTTTTCAGTAATGGACTACAATTTGTAGGTAATCTACCAAGAACTGCTTGCAGGCGAATGATCATTTCATGCAGAGATCTTTGAACGCTGGTGCACAATGTGGCTTTGGGCAAAACTGTTGCAAAAACCCAAATAATCCTGTCCATCATAGCTTGAAATTTTGCCTTTAGTTTGCTAAGATGAAATGAACCCATTATTTCTATTTTGAAATGCCTTGTGGCTAAAAGCGTCCTGAAGACTGAACCACTCCCACCCAGAGAGAGTATAAACCCAAGACCACCGCCTGCAACACTCATCCCGAATCGAGAACATCCACCAGTGCATCAGCTCATCTTCCCGAGTGGCCGACAACATGAGCTTTGAGTTTCAGTCAACGTTCCAGTCAAGCTTCGAGATGATCTCCGGCTTTGTGAGTGTTTCATGCACTCCTGACTTACACTTGCCTTTCTACATTGTTTTCTTTTGTGCATTTTCAGAGTATATTTGAGTCAGTTGCACATTGTGAACTTTACCATAACATACATAATTTTTACTATGCAGAGCGTCCCCTACGAGAGTCCTATCCCTGGAGGACTGAAAGCTGGCAAAGCCATCTTCATCCAGGGAACCGTTCCCTCTGGATCTAAAAGGTGAATCTTTCTTTTCAAGACTAGAGAAAAGAAATGCAATTTTGTTTGAGTAACTAGAAATGCAATTTTGTTTGAGTAACTAGTTCACTCCACATTGTCTATAATCATTGCAGCTTTGAGGTGAATCTGAAGTGTGGGAAGTCTGAAGGAGATGACATTGCCTTTCAAATCAGACCCCAGTTTAGTAGCAACTGCATAGTCCTAAACAGCCAGCAAAATGGATCTTGGGGAAAAGAGGAGAAACTGGAATTACCTTTAAAGCAGGGGAGCAGCTTTGATCTGATCATTGCCATAAATTCAGAAAATTATCAGGTGTGTTTTGATGTTTTGATCTATTCAATGAGTGCATCGTGCAAAGGCTGAAAGAAATAAGATAAGAAATCTGAACATGGTCATTTTCAATCTGAAGGTGTCTTTGAGTGGATGTGAAGTTGGCCGATTTCAGCATCGTATATCTCTGGAACGCGTCATCGCTCTGAGTGTTGGAGGAGAGGTTTCTTTAACCAACGTGGTGTTCACGGAGGTGAGTGATCCTCCTCTTTTTACAGAATTTAGTTGCCATTACTCAAGCACAGGCGTTTCTGTTATTTTGGTATTAGGGTATGATACCGAAGACAGAAAAATGCTTCAGTATGCTGATTGTTCAAGTTCAAGTTCACTTTAGTTGTATAATTTACAACAGCCAATAGGCTGACCAAAGTGCTTTACAGAACAACCAGATTAAAAGATAGAAAGGCCTGCATAACAACACATAAAACGCATGTGTCCTCATGTATGTGACTGTCACAGCAGTCCTGCAGTGTGACATGCGATACTCCATCAAAAAGGATTATAAATTGATTTGTAATATGCAAGAGTACTCTATAACTAGAATTGGATTTTTTAAAACCATGTCACTGCAGGACAACTTGAATAAGAGAAAGCAGTAGTTATTAAACGGTGTGGGGGGGAAAACACAATATCAGGTAGACATGATACAAATGTTTGTGTTATTCAACTCTTACAATCTTGCTCTTACAGAACAGGGCTGGATCCTCCATCTTTCAGCAGGGCGGAAGTTTGATCAACTTCCAGGATGGGACTATGACTTTTGATGAACAATCATCTGTGATAGATGGAAGCTGGTCTTTGATGGGCACCCAATACAATCAGTCATCTTTCCAAACAACGACTGAACTTTCATTGAGCAACCCAGTCCAAAATCCTGTGAGTAGCAAAAACTTTACAGGAACTCAGAAAACACAATAAAGTGCAAGCACTAAAAGATAAATCTGTGAATAAAAATGGTCAATCTCCCAGGACAAACTTTTAAATTAAAGTTTCGTTATTTTTGATGCCTCTTTAAAAGTTCAAAACCTAGCATAAGATTCTTGTCAATATAGGATATTTTCTTGTTCTTACTGCAGATCCTTCCTTATGTGGGCCCAATTTCAGGAGGACTGAGAGAAGGAATGGCATTGTACTTGCAGGGAGTTGTTCCTTCTAATGCTGGCCGGTAAGGAATCGTTTTGCTTGATAATTTGGACAAAACAAATCACTGTTATTTGGTGTTAAGGGTCGCTTTAACGCTTCGACTTCAATGCAGGTTTGCAATAAATTTCAAGACCGGGTCATCTGATACTGATGACATTGCTTTCCACTTCAATCCCCGAATGGGCTCAAATGTGATCTTGAACAGCTTCAGGAATGGGGGATGGGAGTCTGAGGAAAGTGTCTCTGACAACCCCTTTAAAAAGGGAGAAGCTTTTGAGATGTTCACTGTCATCAAATCCGAAGGATATCAGGTATGTGCTTTGAAACACAAAACTCACTGCGCACCCCTAAAAGAAATCTAGGAACTTGCCCTCACTCAGGTTGTGTTGTTTTGGATCATCAGATATACGTGAATGGCAAGGAGCAGTACACATTCAAGCACCGTATACCACTGGAAAAAGTGTCAGCATTAAATATCAAAGGAGATGTTGCTGTGAACCTTTTTGGATTCATACAAGTAACTTACATTTCCTACAGCTGTGGAAATATTAAAGCTTTACTGAAACTTTGTAAGAATCCAGTAAGAATTACGTTGAATGTAAAGAGCTTTCTAAATACACTCTCTCTCTCCCTGTGTTACCTCATTAGAACTGGAGCACATCTTCATTCCCTACAGAAGTTACAACAAAAATCATCAGTTTGGGCAGCTCACGTGGGGAGCGTTCCACCGTACAGTCAGAGATCTTGCAGCCAGTCCAAAACCCTGTGAGTGACCGTTCCATTCCAGTGACTTCTGAATGCACAACAAAGTGCAAACACTTAATGAAACAACAGTGCATGAGAACTGTTTCACCCAAAAGCAATTGTCTCACCATAGCTTCAGGATTATGATGATCCTTTTTTAAACAATGAAATTCTAAATGTCCCATTTCATTGAGTTCAAAAACCTGCCATAAGAATCTACTCAATATAGGATAATGCCTATTTTCTTGTTCTTACTGCAGATCCTTCCTTATGTGGGTCCAATTTCAGGAGGTCTGAGAGAAGGAATGGCTTTGTACTTGCAGGGAGTTGTTCCCACTAATGCTGACTGGTAAGGAATTGTTTTGTTGGACAATATGGACAAAAATAATCCAATGCTTTTTGGAATCAGTTGCTTTAACGCTTAAACTTCAATGCAGGTTTGCAATAAATTTCAAGACCGGGTCATCTGATACTGATGACATTGCTTTCCACTTCAACCCCCGAATGGGCTCAAATGTGACCATGAACAGCTTCAGGAATGGGGGATGGGAGTCTGAGGAAAGTGTCTCTGACAACCCCTTTAAAAAGGGAGAAGCTTTTGAGATGTTCACTGTCATCAAATCCGAAGGATATCAGGTATGTGCTTTGAAACACAAAACTCACTGCGCACCCCTAAAAGAAATCTAGGAACTTGCCCTCACTCAGGTTGTGTTGTTTTGGATCATCAGATATACGTGAATGGCAAGGAGCAGTACACATTCAAGCACCGTATACCACTGGAAAAAGTGTCAGCATTAAATATCAAAGGAGATGTTGCTGTGAACCTTTTTGGATTCATACAAGTAACTTACATTTCCTACAGCTGTGGAAATATTAAAGCTTTACTGAAACTTTGTAAGAATCCAGTAAGAATTACGTTGAATGTAAAGAGCTTTCTAAATACACTCTCTCTCTCCCTGTGTTACCTCATTAGAACTGGAGCACATCTTCATTCCCTACAGAAGTTACAACAAAAATCATCAGTTTGGGCAGCTCACGTGGGGAGCGTTCCACCGTACAGTCAGAGATCTTGCAGCCAGTCCAAAACCCTGTGAGTGACCGTTCCATTCCAGTGACTTCTGAATGCACAACAAAGTGCAAACACTTAATGAAACAACAGTGCATGAGAACTGTTTCACCCAAGAGCAATTGTCTCACCATAGCTTCAGGATTATGATGATCCTTTTTTAAACAATGAAATTCTAAATGTCCAATTTCATTGAGTTCAAAAACCTGCCATAAGAATCTACTCAATATAGGATAATGCCTATTTTCTTGTTTTTACTGCAGATCCTTCCTTATGTGGGCCCAATTTCAGGAGGTCTGAGAGAAGGAATGGCATTGTACTTGCAGGGAGTTGTTCCCACTAATGCTGACTGGTAAGGAATTGTTTTGTTGGACAATATGGACAAAAATAATCCAATGCTTTTTGGAATCAGTTGCTTTAACGCTTCAACTTCAATGCAGGTTTGCAATAAATTTCAAGACCGGGTCATCTGATACTGATGACATTGCTTTCCACTTCATTCCCCGAATGGGCTCAAATGTGACCATGAACAGCTTCAGGAATGGGGGATGGGAGTCTGAGGAAAGTGTCTCTGACAACCCCTTTAAAAAGGGAGAAGCTTTTGAGATGGTCACTGTCATCAAATCCGAAGGATATCAGGTATGTGCTTTGAAACACAAAACTCACTGCGCACCCCTAAAAGAAATCTAGGAACTTGTCCTCACTCAGGTTGTGTTGTTTTGGATCATCAGATATACGTGAATGGCAAAGAGCAGTACACATTCAAGCACCGTATACCACTGGAAAAAGTGTCAGCATTAAATATCAAAGGAGATGTTGCTGTGAAACTGCTTGGCTTCATACAAGTAACTTACATTTCCTACAGCTGTGGAAATATTAAAGCTTTACTGAAACTTTGTCAGAATCCAGTAAGAATTACATTGAATGTAAAGAGCTTTCTAAATACACTCTCTCTCTCCCTGTGTTACCTCATTAGAACTGGAGCACATCTTCATTCCCTACAGAAGTTACAACAAAAATCATCAGTTTGGGCAGCTCACGTGGGGAACGTTCCACCGTACAGTCAGAGATCTTGCAGCCAGTCCAAAACCCTGTGAGTTACCGTTCCATTCCAGTGACTCCTGAATGCACAACAAAGTGCAAACACTTAATGAAACAACAGTGCATGAGAACTGTTTCCCCCAAGAGCAATTGTCTCACCATAGCTTCAGGATTATGATGATCCTTTTTTAAACAATGAAATTCTAAATGTCCCATTTCATTGAGTTCAAAAACCTGCCATAAGAATCTACTCAATATAGGATAATGCCTATTTTCTTGTTCTTACTGCAGATCCTTCCTTATGTGGGTCCAATTTCAGGAGGTCTGAGAGAAGGAATGGCATTGTACTTGCAGGGAGTTGTTCCCACTAATACTGACTGGTAAGGAATTGTTTTGTTGGACAATATGGACAAAAATAATCCAATGCTTTTTGGAATCAGTTGCTTTAACGCTTCAACTTCAATGCAGGTTTGCAATAAATTTCAAGACCGGGTCATCTGATACTGATGACATTGCTTTCCACTTCATTCCCCGAATGGGCTCAAATGTGACCATGAACAGCTTCAGGAATGGGGGATGGGAGTCTGAGGAAAGTGTCTCTGACAACCCCTTTAAAAAGGGAGAAGCTTTTGAGATGTTCACTGTCATCAAATCTGAAGGATATCAGGTATGTGCTTTGAAACACAAATATCACTGCGCACCCCTAAAAGAAATCTAGGAACTTGTTCTCACTCAGGTTGTGTTGTTTTGGATCATCAGATATACGTGAATGGCAAGGAGCAGTACACATTCAAGCACCGTATACCACTGGAAAAAGTGTCAGCTTTAAATATCAAAGGAGATGTTGCTGTGAAACTTCTTGGCTTCATACAAGTAACTTAAATTTCCTACAGCTGTGGAAATATTAAAGCTTTACTGAAACTTTGTCAGAATCCAGTAAGAATTACGTTGAATGTAAAGAGCTTTCTAAATACACTCTCTCTCTCCCTGTGTTACCTCATTAGAACTGGAGCACATCTTCATTCCCTACAGAAGTTACAACAAAAATCATCAGTTGTGGCAGCTCACGTGGGGAACGTTCCACCGTACAGTCAGAGATCTTGCAGCCAGTCCAAAACCCTGTGAGTGACCATTCCATTCCAGTGACTTCTGAATGCACAACAAAGTGCAAACACTTAATGAAACAACCGTGCATGAGAACTGTTTCACCCAAGAGCAAGTGTCTCACCATAGCTTCAGGATTATGATGATCCTTTTTTAAACAATGAAATTCTAAATGTCCCATTTCATTGATTTCAAAAACCTGCCATAAGAATCTACTCAATATAGGATAATGCCTATTTTCTTGTTCTTACTGCAGATCCTTCCTTATGTGGGTCCAATTTCAGGAGGACTGAGAGAAGGAATGGCCTTGTACTTGCAGGGAGTTGTTCCCACTAATGCTGACTGGTAAGGAATTGTTTTGTTGGACAATATGGACAAAAATAATCCAATGCTTTTTGGAATCAGTTGCTTTAACGCTTCAACTTCAATGCAGGTTTGCAATAAATTTCAAGACCGGGTCATCTGATACTGATGACATTGCTTTCCACTTCATTCCCCGAATGGGCTCAAATGTGACCATGAACAGCTTCAGGAATGGAGGATGGGAGTCTGAGGAAAGTGTCTCTGACAACCCCTTTAAAAAGGGAGAAGCTTTTGAGATGTTCACTGTCATCAAATCCGAAGGATATCAGGTATGTGCTTTGAAACACAAAAATCACTGCGCACCCCTAAAAGAAATCTAGGAACTTGTCCTCACACAGGTTGTGTTGTTTTGGATCATCAGATATACGTGAATGGCAAGGAGCAGTACACATTCAAGCACCGTATACCACTGGAAAATGTGTCAGCATTAAATATCAAAGGAGATGTTGCTGTGAAACTTCTTGGCTTCATACAAGTAACTTACATTTCCTACAGCTGTGGAAATATGAAAGCTTTACTGAAACTTTGTCAGAATCCAGTAAGAATTACGTTGAATGTAAAGAGCTTTCTAAATACACTCTCTCTCTCCCTGTGTTACCTCATTAGAACTGGAGCATATCTTCATTCCCTACAAAAGTTACAACAAAAATCATCAGTTTGGGCAGCTCACGTGGGGAACGTTCCACCGTACAGTCAGAGATCTTGCAGCCAGTCCAAAACCCTGTGAGTGACCGTTCCATTCCAGTGACTTCTGAATGCACAACAAAGTGCAAACACTTAATGAAACAACAGTGCATGAGAACTGTTTCACCCAAGAGCAATTGTCTCACCATAGCTTCAGGATTATGATGATCCTTTTTTAAACAATGAAATCCTAAATGTCCCATTTCATTGAGTTCAAAAACCTGCCATAAGAATCTACTCAATATAGGATAATGCCTATTTTCTTGTTCTTACTGCAGATCCTTCCTTATGTGGGTCCAATTTCAGGAGGTCTGAGAGAAGGAATGGCATTGTACTTGCAGGGAGTTGTTCCCCCTAATGCTGACTGGTAAGGAATTGTTTTGTTGGACATTATGGACAAAAACAATCCAATGCTTTTTGGAATCAGTTGCTTTAACGCTTCAACTTCAATGCAGGTTTGCAATAAATTTCAAGACCGGGTCATCTGATACTGATGACATTGCTTTCCACTTCATTCCCCGAATGGGCTCAAATGTGACCATGAACAGCTTCAGGAATGGGGGATGGGAGTCTGAGGAAAGTGTCTCTGACAACCCCTTTAAAAAGGGAGAAGCTTTTGAGATGTTCACTGTCATCAAATCCGAAGGATATCAGGTATGTGCTTTGAAACACAAAAATCACTGCGCACCCCTAAAAGAAATCTAGGAACTTGTCCTCACTCAGGTTGTGTTGTTTTGGATCATCAGATATACATGAATGGCAAGGAGCAGTACACATTCAAGCACCGTATACCACTGGAAAAAGTGTCAGCATTAAATATCAAAGGAGATGTTGCTGTGAAACTTCTTGGCTTCATACAAGTAACTTACATTTCCTACAGCTGTGGAAATATTAAAGCTTTACTGAAACTTTGTCAGAATCCAGTAAGAATTACGTTGAATGTAAAGAGCTTTCTAAATACACTCTCTCTCTCTCCCTGTTACCTCATTAGAACTGGAGCACATCTTCATTCCCTACAGAAGCTACAACAAAAATCATCAGTTTGGGCAGCTCACGTGGGGAACGTTCCACCGTACAGTCAGAGATCTTGCAGCCAGTCCAAAACCCTGTGAGTGACCATTCCATTCCAGTGACTCCTGAATGCACAACAAAGTGCAAACACTTAATGAAACAACAGTGCATGAGAACTGTTTCACCAAAGAGCAATTGTCTCACCATAGCTTCAGGATTATGATGATCCTTTTTTAAACAATGAAATTCTAAATGTCCCATTTCATTGAGTTCAAAAACCTGCCATAAGAATCTACTCAATATAGGATAATGCCAATTTTCTTGTTCTTACTGCAGATCCTTCCTTATGTGGGTCCAATTTCAGGAGGTCTGAGAGAAGGAATGGCATTGTACTTGCAGGGAGTTGTTCCCACTAATGCTGACTGGTAAGGACTTGTTTTGTTGGACAATATGGACAAAAACAATCCAATGCTTTTTGGAATCAGTTGCTTTAATGCTTCAACTTCAATGCAGGTTTGCAATAAATTTCAAGACCGGGTCATCTGATACTGATGACATTGCTTTCCACTTCATTCCCCGAATGGGCTCAAATGTGACCATGAACAGCTTCAGGAATGGGGGATGGGAGTTTGAGGAAAGTGTCTCTGACAACCCCTTTAAAAAGGGAGAAGCTTTTGAGATGTTCACTGTCATCAAATCCGAAGGATATCAGGTATGTGCTTTGAAACATAAAACTCACTGCGCACCCCTAAAATAAATCTAGGAACTTGTCCTCACTCAGGTTGTGTTGTTTTGGATCATCAGATATACGTGAATGGCAAGGAGCAGTACACATTCAAGCACCGTATACCACTGGAAAAAGTGTCAGCATTAAATATCAAAGGAGATGTTGCTGTGAAACTTCTTGGCTTCATACAAGTAACTTACATTTCCTACAGCTGTGGAAATATTAAAGCTTTACTGAAACTTTGTCAGAATCCAGTAAGAATTACGTTGAATGTAAAGAGCTTTCTAAATACACTCTCTCTCTCTCCCTGTTACCTCATTAGAACTGGAGCACATCTTCATTCCCTACAAAAGTTACAACAAAAATCATCAGTTTGGGCAGCTCACGTGGGGAACGTTCCACCGTACAGTCAGAGATCTTGCAGCCAGTCCAAAACCCTGTGAGTGACCGTTCCATTTCAGTGACTTCTGAATGCACAACAAAGTGCAAACACTTAAAGGGGTCATATAATGGTACATGCACTTTTACAAGTTGATTGTACTGAAATGTGTGTTGGCAGTGCCTGTACACAACCATCATAAAATGATAAAAATCCATCCAGTGTTTTTGTTTTAATCTCCTTATATGTTTTCCCCTGCCTCAAATTGAGCCGTTCGATTTTGTGACGTCACGCGCTCGGAAGCCCCTCCCACGATTGTTGATTGACTGCTGCGTTTCAACACAGACCCGCCCTGAGCGAGCTGTCAATCATAGTCTGCGCGGACCGGCGCGGTCATTGTTGATATGCTGGAGCACTGTCTATGAGCAGAATGGCGTCTAAGCGATTGTGGTGTTCTGTTCTTGTGTGTAATAACGAACACAGCAGTCATTTTAATGTTCCTAAATCCGAACCGCTGAAGACGCAGTGGCTGAGTTTGTTTTCGAAGGGAATATTCCCCACGAGCAACGTCAATGCTTTCATGTTTGCGCGAATCATTTCTTACCAGACTGCTTTATAAACGAGGGTCAGTATGAGCCGGTTTTGCTAAGAAGTTGCTCCTGAATAAAGGATCGGTACCAGCTATTCATGTTCCTGCTGAACCTCTAGAACAACTGAAGTGAGTGCAACGTTTTATTAAACTTTATATTAATATTTATATTAATCTTTGCAAATCGCTAGCTGCACGCTTCACAATGAATGCGTCTAAGGTTTACACTCAGGGTACATTACGGCATGTTTTCTATGTATGACGTTCTCAATATAATTCATAATCCCACGTTTATACTGAACAACGCGTTATGGTTATTGTGTTATTGAGTTACAAATGGTGTAGGCAGAACAGAGAGGCGGGGTGAGCAAAGCTCATTATCATTTAAAGTCATATGCACTGAAACGGCGTGCTGAAAACAGAGCTGTTTTTGACCAAGTAAAATAAGTGTTTTCTTACAATACTAATGATAATTTTTAATTAAAGTATATTACAAACTTTTAATTTAGACCCTAAAGAATCATACTAGCTTGTACAAAAATGGCATTATATGACCCCTTTAATGAAACAACAGTGCATGAGAACTGTTTCACCCAAGAGCAATTGTCTCACCATAGCTTCAGGATTATGATGATCCTTTTTTAAACAATGAAATTCTAAATGTCCCATTTCATTGAGTTCAAAAAACCTGCCATAAGAATCTACTCAATATAGGATAATGCCTATTTTCTTGTTCTTACTGCAGATCCTTCCTTATGTGGGTCCAATTTCAGGAGGACTGAGAGAAGGAATGGCCTTGTACTTGCAGGGAGTTGTTCCCACTAATGCTGACTGGTAAGGAATTGTTTTGTTGGACAATATGGACAAAAACAATCCAATGCTTTTTGGAATCAGTTGCTTTAACGCTTCAACTTCAATGCAGGTTTGCAATAAATTTCAAGACCGGGTCATCTGATACTGATGACATTGCTTTCCACTTCATTCCCCGAATGGGCTCAAATGTGACCATGAACAGCTTCAGGAATGGAGGATGGGAGTCTGAGGAAAGTGTCTCTGACAACCCCTTTAAAAAGGGAGACGCTTTTGAGATGTTCACTGTCATCAAATCCGAAGGATATCAGGTATGTGCTTTGAAACACAAAAATCACTGCACACCCCTAAAAGAAATCTAGGAACTTGTCCTCACTCAGGTCGTGTTGTTTTGGATCATCAGATATACGTGAATGGCAAGGAGCAGTACACATTCAAGCACCGTATACCACTGGAAAAAGTGTCAGCATTAAATATCAAAGGAGATGTTGCTGTGAAACTTCTTGGCTTTATACAAGTAACTTACATTTCCTACAGCTGTGGAAATATTAAAGCTTTACTGAAACTTTGTCAGAATCCAGTAAGAATTACGTTGAATGTAAAGAGCTTTCTAAATACACTCTCTCTCTCCCTGTGTTACCTCATTAGAACTGGAGCACATCTTCATTCCCTACAAAAGTTACAACAAAAATCATCAGTTTGGGCAGGTCACGTGGGGAACGTTCCACCGTACAGTCAGAGATCTTGCAGCCAGTCCAAAACCCTGTGAGTGACCGTTCCATTCCAGTGACTTCTGAATGCACAACAAAGTGCAAACACTTAATGAAACAACAGTGCATGAGAACTGTTTCACCCAAGAGCAATTGTCTCACCATAGCTTCAGGATTATGATGATCCTTTTTTAAACAATGAAATTCTAAATGTCCCATTTCATTGAGTTCAAAAACCTGCCATAAGAATCTACTCAATATAGGATAATGCCTATTTTCTTGTTCTTACTGCAGATCCTTCCTTATGTGGGTCCAATTTCAGGAGGACTGAGAGAAGGAATGGCCTTGTACTTGCAGGGAGTTGTTCCCACTAATGCTGACCGGTAAGGAATTGTTTTTTTGGACAATATGATCAAAAACAATCCAATGCTTTTTGAAATCAGTTGCTTTAACGCTTCAAATTCAATGCAGGTTTGCAATAAATTTCAAGACCGGGTCATCTGATACTGATGACACTGCTTTCCACTTCAATCCCCGAATGGGCTCAAATGTGGCCATGAACAGCTTCAGGGATGGAAAATGGGAAAGTGCGGAAAGTGTCTCTGACAACCCTTTTAAAAAGGGAGAAGCTTTTGAGATGTTCACTGTCATCAAATCCGAAGGATATCAGGTATGTGCTTTGAAACACAAAAATCACTGCGCACCCCTAAAAGAAATCTAGGAACTTGTCCTCACTCAGGTCGTGTTGTTTTGGATCATCAGATATACGTGAATGGCAAAGAGCAGTACACATTCAAGCACCGTATACCACTGGAAAAAGTGTCAGCAATAAATATCAATGGAGATGTTGCTGTGAACCTTTTTGGCTTCATACAAGTAAGTTACATTTTCTACAGCTGTGGAAATATTGCAGCATTACTGAAACTTTATCAGAATCCAGTAAGAATGAAGTGGAATGTAAGCTTTCTAAATACACTCTCTCTGTGTTCCCCTAATTAGAACTGGAGCACATCTTCATTTCATACAGAAGTTACATCAAACATCATCAGTTTGGGCAGCTCACGTGGGGAACGTTCCACCGTACAGTCAGAGATCTTGCAGCCAGTCCAAAACCCTGTGAGTGACCGTTTCATTCCAGTGACTTCTGAATGCACAACAAAGTGCAAACACTTAATGAAACAACAGTGCATGAGAACTGTTTCACCTAAGAGCAATTGTCTCACCATAGCTTCAGGATTATGATGATCCTTTTTTAAACAAAGAAATTCTAAACGTCCCATTTCATTGAGTTCAAAAACCTGCCATAAGAATCTACTCAATATAGGATAATGCCTATTTTCTTGTTCTTACTGCAGATCCTTCCTTATGCGGGTCCAATTTCAGGAGGACTGAGAGAAGGAATGGCCTTGTACTTGCAGGGAGTTGTTCCTACTAATGCTGACCGGTAAGGAATTGTTTTTTTGGACAATATGATCAAAAACAATCCAATGCTTTTTGGAATCAGTTGCTTTAACGCTTCAACTTCAATGCAGGTTTGCAATAAATTTCAAGACCGGGTCATCTAAAACTGATGACACTGCTTTCCACTTCAATCCCCGAATGGGCTCAAATGTGGCCATGAACAGCTTCAGGGATGGAAAATGGGAAAGTGCAGAAAGTGTCTCTGACAACCCCTTTAAAAAGGGAGAAGCTTTTAAAATGTTCATGGTCATCAAATCCGAAGGATATCAGGTATGTGCTTTGAAACACAAAACTCACTGCGCACCCCTAAAAGAAATCTAGGAACTTGTCCTCACTCAGGTCGTGTTGTTTTGGATCATCAGATATACGTGAATGGCAAAGAGCAGTACACATTCAAGCACCGTATACCACTGGAAAAAGTGTCAGCAATAAATATCAATGGAGATGTTGCTGTGAACCTTTTTGGCTTCATACAAGTAAGTTACATTTTCTACAGCTGTGGAAATATTGCAGCATTACTGAAACTTTATCAGAATCCAGTAAGAATGAAGTGGAATGTAAGCTTTCTAAATACACTCTCTCTGTGTTCCCCTAATTAGAACTGGAGCACATCTTCATTTCATACAGAAGTTACATCAAACATCATCAGTTTGGGCAGCTCACGTGGGGAACGTTCCACCGTACAGTCAGAGATCTTGCAGCCAGTCCAAAACCCTGTGAGTGACCGTTCCATTCCAGTGACTTCTGAATGCACAACAAAGTGCAAACACTTAATGAAACAACAGTGCATGAGAACTGTTTCACCCAAGAGCAATTGTCTCACCATAGCTTCAGGATTATGATGATCCTTTTTTAAACAAAGAAATTCTAAACGTCCCATTTCATTGAGTTCAAAAACCTGCCATAAGAATCTACTCAATATAGGATAATGCCTATTTTCTTGTTCTTACTGCAGATCCTTCCTTATGCGGGTCCAATTTCAGGAGGACTGAGAGAAGGAATGGCCTTGTACTTGCAGGGAGTTGTTCCTACTAATGCTGACCGGTAAGGAATTGTTTTTTTGGACAATATGATCAAAAACAATCCAATGCTTTTTGGAATCAGTTGCTTTAACGCTTCAACTTCAATGCAGGTTTGCAATAAATTTCAAGACCGGGTCATCTAAAACTGATGACACTGCTTTCCACTTCAATCCCCGAATGGGCTCAAATGTGGCCATGAACAGCTTCAGGGATGGAAAATGGGAAAGTGCAGAAAGTGTCTCTGACAACCCCTTTAAAAAGGGAGAAGCTTTTAAAATGTTCATGGTCATCAAATCCGAAGGATATCAGGTATGTGCTTTGAAACACAAAACTCACTGCGCACCCCTAAAAGAAATCTAGGAACTTGTCCTCACTCAGGTCGTGTTGTTTTGGATCATCAGATATACGTGAATGGCAAAGAGCAGTACACATTCAAGCACCGTATACCACTGGAAAAAGTGTCAGCATTAAATATCAATGGAGATGTTGCTGTGAACCTTTTTGGCTTCATACAAGTAAGTTACATTTTCTACAGCTGTGGAAATATTGCAGCATTACTGAAACTTTATCAGAATCCAGTAAGAATGAAGTGGAATGTAAGCTTTCTAAATACACTCTCTCTATGTTCCCCTAATTAGAACTGGAGCACATCTTCATTTCATACAGAAGTTACATCAAACATCATCAGTTTGGGCAGCTCACGTGGGGAACGTTCCACCGTACAGTCAGAGATCTTGCAGCCAGTCCAAAACCCTGTGAGTGACCGTTCCATTCCAGTGACTCCTGAATGCACAACAAAGTGCAAACACTTAATGAAACAACAGTGCATGAAAACTGTTTCACCCAAGAGCAATTGTCTCACCATAGCTTCAGGATTATGATGATCTTTTTTTAAACAATGAAATTCTAAATGTCCCATTTCATTGAGTTCAAAAACCTGCCATAAGAATCTACTCAATATAGGATAATGCCTATTTTCTTGTTCTTACTGCAGATCCTTCCTTATGTGGGTCCAATTTCAGGAGGACTGAGAGAAGGAATGGCCTTGTACTTGCAGGGAGTTGTTCCTACTAATGCTGACCGGTAAGGAATTGTTTTTTTGGACAATATGATCAAAAACAATCCAATACTTTTTGGAATCAGTTGCTTTAACGCTTCAACTTCAATGCAGGTTTGCAATAAATTTCAAGACCGGGTCATCTAAAACTGATGACACTGCTTTCCACTTCAATCCCCGAATGGGCTCAAATGTGGCCATGAACAGCTTCAGGGATGGAAAATGGGAAAGTGCGGAAAGTGTCTCTGACAACCCCTTTAAAAAGGGAGAAGCTTTTAAAATGTTCATGGTCATCAAATCCGAAGGATATCAGGTATGTGCTTTGAAACACAAAACTCACTGCGCACCCCTAAAAGAAATCTAGGAACTTGTCCTCACTCAGGTCGTGTTGTTTTGGATCATCAGATATACGTGAATGGCAAAGAGCAGTACACATTCAAGCACCGTATACCACTGGAAAAAGTATCAGCAATAAATATCAATGGGGATGTTGATGTGAACCTTTTTGGCTTCATACAAGTAAGTTACATTTTTACAGCTGTGGAAACATTGCAGCATTACTGAAACTTTATCAGAATCCAGTAAGAATGAAGTGGAATGTAAAGAGCTTTCTAAATACACTCTCTCTGTGTTCCCCTAATTAGAACTGGAGCACATCTTCATTTCATACAGAAGTTACATCAAAAATCATCAGTTTGGGCAGCTCACGTGGGGAACGTTCCACCGTACAGTCAGAGATCTTGCAGCCAGTCCAAAACCCTGTGAGTGACCGTTCCATTCCAGTGACTTCTGAATGCACAACAAAGTGCAAACACTTAATGAAACAACAGTGCATGAGAACTGTTTCACCTAAGAGCAATTGTCTCACCATAGCTTCAGGATTATGATGATCCTTTTTTAAACAAAGAAATTCTAAACGTCCCATTTCATTGAGTTCAAAAACCTGCCATAAGAATCTACTCAATATAGGATAATGCCTATTTTCTTGTTCTTACTGCAGATCCTTCCTTATGCGGGTCCAATTTCAGGAGGACTGAGAGAAGGAATGGCCTTGTACTTGCAGGGAGTTGTTCCTACTAATGCTGACCGGTAAGGAATTGTTTTTTTGGACAATATGATCAAAAACAATCCAATGCTTTTTGGAATCAGTTGCTTTAACGCTTCAACTTCAATGCAGGTTTGCAGTAAATTTCAAGACCGGGTCATCTAAAACTGATGACACTGCTTTCCACTTCAATCCCCGAATGGGCTCAAATGTGGCCATGAACAGCTTCAGGGATGGAAAATGGGAAAGTGCAGAAAGTGTCTCTGACAACCCCTTTAAAAAGGGAGAAGCTTTTAAAATGTTCATGGTCATCAAATCCGAAGGATATCAGGTATGTGCTTTGAAACACAAAACTCACTGCGCACCCCTAAAAGAAATCTAGGAACTTGTCCTCACTCAGGTCGTGTTGTTTTGGATCATCAGATATACGTGAATGGCAAAGAGCAGTACACATTCAAGCACCGTATACCACTGGAAAAAGTGTCAGCATTAAATATCAATGGAGATGTTGCTGTGAACCTTTTTGGCTTCATACAAGTAAGTTACATTTTCTACAGCTGTGGAAATATTGCAGCATTACTGAAACTTTATCAGAATCCAGTAAGAATGAAGTGGAATGTAAAGAGCTTTCTAAAATACACTCTCTCTCTCCCTGTGTTACCTCATTAGAACTGGAGCACATCTTCATTTCATACAGAAGTTATATCAAAAATCATCAGTTTGGGCAGCTCACGTGGGGAACGTTCCACCGTACAGTCAGAGATCTTGCAGCCAGTCCAAAACCCTGTGAGTGACCGTTCCATTTCAGTGACTTCTGAATGCACAACAAAGTGCAAACACTTAATGAAACAACAGTGCATGAGAACTGTTTCACCCAAGAGCAATTGTCTCACCATAGCTTCAGGATTATGATGATCCTTTTTTAAACAATGACATTTTTAATGTCCCATTTCATTGAGTTCAAAAACCTGCCATAAGAATCTACTCAATATAGGATAATGCCTATTTTCTTGTTCTTAATGCAGATCCTTCCTTATGCGGGTCCAATTTCAGGAGGACTGAGAGAAGGAATGGCCTTGTACTTGCAGGGAGTTGTTCCTACTAATGCTGACCGGTAAGGAATTGTTTTTTTGGACAATATGATCAAAAACAATCCAATGCTTTTTGGAATCAGTTGCTTTAACGCTTCAACTTCAATGCAGGTTTGCAATAAATTTCAAGACCGGGTCATCTAAAACTGATGACACTGCTTTCCACTTCAATCCCCGAATGGGCTCAAATGTGACCATGAACAGCTTCAGGAATGGGGGATGGGAGTCTGAGGAAAGTGTGTCCGACAACCCCTTTAAAAAGGGAGAAGCTTTTGAGATGTTCATGGTCATCAAATCCGAAGGATATCAGGTATGTCATTTAAAACATAAAACTCACTGCACACCCCTAAAAGAAATCTAGGAACTTGTCCTCACTCAGGTTGTGTTGTTTTGGATCATCAGATATACGTGAATGGCAAAGAGCAGTACACATTCAAGCACCGTATACCACTGGAAAAAGTGTCAGCATTAAATATTAATGGAGATGTTGCTGTGAAACTTCTTGGCTTCATACAAGTAAGTTAATTTTTCATCAGCTGATACAGTATTGCAGAATGAATGAATGAGCTTTCTAAATACACTCTCTCTCTCTTCAGGACTGGAGTACATCCTCATTTGTTACTAAAGTCAAGTCAAAAATCATCAGTTTGGGCAGGTCACGTGGGGAACGTTCCACCATACAGTCAGAGATCTTGCAGCCAGTCCAAAACCCTGTGAGTGACCGTTCCATTCCAGTGACTTCTGAATGCACAACAAAGTGCAAACACTTAAAGTGATAGTTCACCCGGAAATGATGTAATTTACTCATCCTCATGTCATTCGATTTGAACTGATGCCTATTTTCTTGTTCTTACTGCAGAGCCTTCCTTATGTGGGCCCAATTTCTGGAGGACTGAGAGTAGGAATGGCCTTGTACGTGCAGGGAGTCGTTCCTACTAATGCTGACCGGTACGTGGCAGTTCCACGGGTAGTGTATGCAGGGCTCTAGAGTGCGACCAATTCAGTCGCACATGCGACCAAAATTTGTAAGGGTGCGACGAGAATTTTCCCTAGGTCGCACCAGTGCAACTAACGTTCTCGCATGATCGCATCCACTGCCTCTCCACAAACAAGTCTTTTGTTCTCCTTGCACGCATGGTTGGATCATATCGTGGTCTAAACCAATCAGAGATAGAGATTGGACGGGTCTTTGCCTCTGATTGGCTGTGGTTCAGATATTCCTGTAGGACTAAAATGCTCCGTGCTGTGTGATTGAAATAAATTGCGCCGTGAGCACCAGAGAATCAGTTACGGCAATCAGCAGCATCAGCTAAATAAACGCAAGAAAACAGACGACGAAGAAACTTTTAAAAATGATGAATGAATGGAACATTGTAGCGAGCATCCGATCCAATAAATCGCAATAATCTTTGTGCTTTGTTATTATTGATATGAAACAAAGTCTCAGATTTCAAATTAGGTCCATTTTCAAAAACATAAATATTGTTTTGACGCTGTTGCGTGAGATCGCTCTGGCTCAGCTCAGCTCAAGAGAAGCAGCAGCGCGGAGCGCATATGATCTCCTCTTATGCCTTAATAATACCAGTTACAACGCAAAATAAACATGAATGAACGTCTGAAAGTGTGTTAAAAGATAGAGTACAACTTATCGAAATCCGTATCTTTCACATGGAATCGCTCAATCAGTGTTTCAACCGTGAAAAGACGTCAGTAAAACACTTGTAAACAATGTAATGTGGCGTCACATTTACCTCAGAAAAAAACATATCCAGTGACCATAAACTCGTTAGTCAGCTAGAAAAATGAACTCTAGGGAGGAGCATTTTGCCAAATATATGCACCATATTACATATTTATTATAATTTTTAATGTTTTTCAATATTTAATGCATGTTGTTTGAAAAAATCTGGCAAGTTTTTATGCAGCCACCATTTAAATGTTTATATTTCATATAACTTTATTATTATAAAAATAAATAAAAGAGTAATTTAAGTGTTTGTGTACAAATCAGGTCATTTTTACCTTCAATATTATAGTAGGCTAATGAAGCATAGTGGGCTACAACTGACTCCCAGTTTACAGCATTAGTTGAGATTTGTTTTCCTTGAGAAAATTTGTCATATATTGTACCTGATATCCAAAATAATCAATATTGAATCGAATTGTGAAATTTGTGTCAATACCCTGCCCTAACGTGAACAATGCAAAAACAGCACTTTACATTTTTCAGTTTTTTTTTAAGATTTATATTTTTATATACAGTATAATTGTGCTTCAAAAAAAAAAAAAAAAAACTACACCGTATTCTTGTTTAAAAGCATTTACATAATATATATGAATTTATATGGAGCGTGATAAAAAAGGTGACCTTGAAATTGTAGCGTTAAAGGAGAACTCCGGCGCAAAATGAACCTTTGGTCTAATTACACATTGTTACCTAGTCAACCGTTATCTGAGATTTGTTTTCATGATTATCGAATGTAAATAGTTTTATCTCTAAAAACAGTTTAGCCTATAAAGCTAGTATAACGCTAGTATATTGGGCATAGTGTAATGACAAATAAAAATCGCTTGTTAATACCACTAACAAGGCTGAAAATAGCCCCACACTAGCACGGCAGCATAATGAGGGTCCCTACCTTCAAACCAAAGCATTGAGAACTTTGTAAGTGTACAGACAGTTTAATAAGAAGATATTTTAAACATACAGTCAACTTCGCGTATACAGGCAGAAGCCATCTTTGAAATACAGCCTTTACCAGTCGATCTACGAACGCCGATCCAAGTGCGCTGGTGAGATGTGAACGAGCTATAAGTTGTGATAAGGTGAGCGCGAACAGCAGGCTTGGATCGGCGTTCGTAGATCGACTGGTAAAGGCTGTATTTCAAAGATGGCTTCTGCCTGTATACGCGAAGTTGACTGTATGTTTAAAATATCTTCTTATTAAACTGTCTGTACACTTACAAAGTTCTCAATGCTTCGGTTTGAAGGTAGGGACCCTCATTATGCTGCCGTGCTAGTGTGGGGCTATTTTCAGCCTTGTTAGTGGTATTAACAAGCGATTTTTATTTGTCATTACACTATGCCCAATATACTAGCGTTATACTAGCTTTATAGGCTAAACTGTTTGTAGAGATAAAACTATTTACATTCGATAATCATGAAAACAAATCTCAGATAACGGTTGACTAGGTAACAATGTGTAATTAGACCAAAGGTTCATTTTGCGCCGGAGTTCTCCTTTAAAGGCGACGTGAGACGAGGAAAAATTTGAGTGCACCTAAATAAAAAAGTTAGGCGCACCAGTGCAACCAAGGCAAAAAGTTAGCCTGGAGCCCTGGTATGCAACCAATCCTCAGATATGCACTGAATAAGTGTTAGGTATCGCCAAACAGCACTAGATAAGATACGTATTGCAATAAATAGACCTAACACAATTTATGTCCATGCATCACAATATTATAATAATATTGATACCTCACCAAACATGCAAGAGGGGCCCAACCCTGCACTAAACATGAAATAATATTCCATTTGTTGTAGTTCTTACAATGTAGACTAATGCAATCTCATTAGGTTATTATTTAGATTCAGATAATTTAACATGTCTCAACTTCCATGCAGGTTTTCAATCAATTTCAAGACTGGGCCTACTGACAAGCATGACATTGCTTTCCATTTTAACCCCCGAATGGGCTGGAAGGTGGCCATGAACAGCTCTACCAATGGAAAATGGGGAGCTGAGGAAAGTGTCTCTAACAACCCATTTAAAAAGGGAGAAGATTTTGAGATGTTCTTCATCATCAAATCAGAAGGATATCAGGTATTTGTTTTGTGATTCTCACAGCCCCCTAAAGGAAAGCTCACATCTAGTTAATACAAAATAATTATCATAAATCCATGCATGAACAAACAATTAACCCAGATTTTAAAGGCTGTTTTTGCAACTGCCAAATGATGATATGCCCATAAGAAGCAAAGCTAATATTTATTAAAATGCTACCTAAATCTTAAAGCCTGATTTTGATTTGTCAGGTACAAATAAAAGGCCAACAACACAGCATGTTTAAGCACCGCATCCCTTTGGAAAAAGTTACTACAATCCACATTCATGGGAATGTCTCCATCAGCTTCCTTGGTTTTGTCATGGTGAGTGATACCAGTCCGCTTGTTCTTCACATATAATATACTGCAAATATAAAAATGCTGGATTGCATAATTTGTTTTGTATTTAATTCAATATAGCGGTTAAAGTTTATATAACCCTCTTTTGTTTTTACAGGGTATGTGAACAGGAGCATTTCTGTGGCTGCATTTTCAGAGAATAATTTTTAAATCATGCATGTCCTCATCTTGATATTTACTCATCAAGTATCATTGATTTCAATCTAATCCATTATACCACAAATCATGGTTACTGCTTATATTGCAATGAAAGAAAATAAATCAGATTTTCTTAAACCACACTGCTCTAATGTTGCAAGTTTTGGGTCACAGTACGAAACACATTTTAGAAAAAGCTCTGTCACCATATGGACATACAGTATATGGACACATGTAATGCATTATATTCATTGTTGGGTTTTTCTTTGAATTTTAAGAGAACTGAAGGCAATGTGAGTTGGTTTTTATGCAAATTCAATGACTGTTTTTCGCAAACCATCCTAAGAGTAAACCGTGAGATACAACAATAAAACCAAAGCTTTTCAGGTCATTTTCTTTAAACATCTTCCTAACTGCATGTTTCACACAGTGTCCAAAACAACTGAAAACTGACAGGTGGAGAGTTTTACATATGGCCACGAGGTGGAACTGTTTCCACAGTCTTGCGGACAGTGAGCAGAGCTTGTACACCCTTGACATCAGTAGGCTTTTGTCTGAAAGCATTAATGAACTGGGTACAACGTGTTATTATTACCCACTATAGCTATCATTACCAAAATACAAAGAAAGGATGATTCATGATTCTCCTGGAAATATGTCACTACATCAGAGTATAAGTGTGAGCCAAGTAAATTAACTAAATTGTATATTTTAAGATTAGTGTTGCTGACAGATGAGTCCACAAAGTATTTGGTCTGGTCCTTACAGTATTTTTTCTCTCTCTGGAGTAATAGGCCTAGTTATTGAATAGTGATATAAGTGAATACAACGTAAAGGTCCCTTTAAAAAAAAAAGTAAACTGTTTTTAAAAGTACATTTTCACATACTTATTTTATTTTATTATATTTTATATTTTTTTCACATAGAAATAATATACTTTAAAATAATATAATTAAGTGTGAACTGAAAGTAATGTTTTCAGACACTTAATTGCATATTTTTGACAATTAAATGAAAATGTATTATAGTTTATATTAAATGCAATTAGCTGAACTTTAAGGGGCTTTTTAGGACTTCAGTACATATTTAGGCCTATATGTAAATTCATAATTACTTCTAGTCTTTGAAATAGGGTTAAAGTGTACTGTTAAATGTACTGACAAGCATTTATGGTAAACTAAAATATACTTTAATGTAATTTCTATTGACACTTGTGTCATTTATTTGAATTGTATTTTGTTGCAATTTAGTACATTTAAAATATATTTACTGTAAATGTAATATTGTAGAACACACTACAGTTAAAGGTACACTACACAGGGGTTAAAGCAAAAACGAATCTTTTGACTGAAAATTTTACCTCGGCCAAACCCAATTGCACAGCCCGTCACACACAGTTTCAGAGCAGTTTGCTTTTTCTTGTAATTAGTGAGTACATGCTTTACCTTCACAAATGAAGAACATTTGCATTTAAAGAAAGGCCCTTTTGAACTGCATTTATATCATTTACACACTTTTATTAAATTTCAATGTTTTCAATCTAATGCTTTTACAAGACTTGACTCTTTGTGATGCAGTCATACAAATAATTAACCATTTGCATAACTTTAACACAAGTTTTTATTTCTAAAATAATAAAAGCCAACAGAGCTTTTGCTGCAAAGTGAGCTAATATCACAAACTATATATCACGTAATATCTGTTTTTAACCTAGCCATTATACCCTGGACATTATAATAATAATAATAAATTCAGTTTTAACCTGAGCATTATAATAAGAACTTATAACGCATGCTCTAACTCAACCTGTTAACACTGAACAGAAGAGGGAAACTAATAGCACCAGCATCAGAAGAATAAGGGCATTTATGGCAGGGATGGGCATCTCAAGCAAAAATAATATTCTCTGATCGCTGGGAATTATTCGATTATTACCGGTAAAACGCGATCGCTCAAATTTGCTCCGACATAAAATTTCTTTGTACTGTAGGCCTACTATACGTGTTGTAGCCATTCAAGAGAACGCATTTAGTTTCATATGTATGTTTAAATAATATAATGTTATTTTGTGATTTCCTCTATGTTGATTATATGAAAAGTGAACAGCATGAGTAAGATAGGATCATTAGATGCGCAACAGCCTACACTACAAACACAAGAATACTTTATATTCACAAAAGTGACAGCCCTAGTTTTTAGTCTAGCTTTGAACTGACAGAGTGTGTCTGTCACAGTGTCTGGTTGTGTTCCCTTGTTTGTCACTAGAGGTCCTCGTTATCACGGTGTCCTTCACTATTGACTTCATTTCCCAGCATTCTGTCTGTCACTGTCACTCATCAGTTCATTGCACTCAGCTGTTCCCCGTCATCATTGTTCCCAGCTGTTCATTGTTAGTCTTGTTAGATCTGTGTATATATGCCCTGTCTGTGTTAGTATGTGTACGGATTCGTTGTTATTTGTCACTACACTTCTGGTCTGTGTTCTAGCCTGTTTCTTGTTTTGTTTATTGTGTTTGGATTGCTAAAATGGACTTTGAACCCTGCCTGGATGACTATGAATTGGATTGCCCTTATAATAAATATGCTGCATTTGGATCTTCCTGTTTTCCCGTGTGTTCCCGTGACAGAACGAATCCGTCACAAACAAGATCCAGCGGTATGTTTTTTAATATCTCTTCCCGAGCCACCGAGCGGGAGAGAAGGGATTTGTTTGAGGGGACCCGGTTGGTCAAGTTTCGCGGGACCCGTGGAGGTTGCAGCGGAGGAGGTGGTCGAGAGGAATTCCAACACCATTTTCCACTCAGGCCACTCTTCGACCCTGGGCTGGGGCAATCCAGTCCAGAGTTTCATCCGGCGCCGTTTCCATCCAGCCCAGAGCACGCACTTCACCAGCGGAAACGGCGGAGGAAGAGGAAGACCCCTAGCCTCTCCAAAGATCCGGAGGCCGTGTCCCAGCAGCCCGCCGCTTTTCTGGAGGCTGATTCGGAGACTGTTCACGTTATGTCTGCCCAGCCAGAGACTGTTCACGTCACGTCTGCCCAGCCAGAGACTGTTCACGTCACGTCTGCCCAGCCAGAGACTGTTCACGTCACGTCTGCCCAGCCAGAGACTGTTCACGTCACGTCTGCCCAGCCAGAGACTGTTCACGTCACGTCTGCCCAGCCAGAGACTGTTCACGTCACGTCTGCCCAGTCAGAGATTGTTCACGTTCAGTCTGCCCAGCCAGAGATAGATCAAGAGATGCCCATTCGTGTGGCCGCCAAGGCTATGATGGATTATTTGGAGCATCTGGCTCGGATCCTGGAGATGCCACTGTCTGCCATTCCAGAGCCGGAGCCAGTGCCCGTTCCAGAGCCGGAGCCAGTGCCGGAGCCAGTGCCCGTTCCAGAGCCGGAGCCAGTGTTTGTTTCTGTGTTTGCGTCTGTTCTTGTGGCTGTTACAGTTTTAGTGTCTGTCCCTGAGCCGGAGCCAGTGTCTGTCCCTGAGCCGGAGCCAGTGTCTGTCCCTGAGCCGGAGCCAGTGTCTGTCCCTGAGCCGGAGCCAGTGTCTGTCCCTGAGCCGGAGCCAGTGTCTGTCCCTGAGCCGGAGCCAGTGTCTGTCCCTGAGCCGGAGCCAGTGTCTGTCCCTGAGCCGGAGCCAGTGTCTGTCCCTGAGCCGGAGCCAGTGTCTGTCCCTGAGCCGGAGCCAGTGTCTGTCCCTGAGCCGGAGCCAGTGTCTGTCCCTGAGCCGGAGCCAGTGTCTGTCCCTGAGCCGGAGCCAGTGTCTGTCCCTGAGCCTGTTCCAGTGCCCCCAGACAGGATAGCCGCCGCGGTGTCGGTTGCTGTTCCTGAGCCGGTGACGGTTGCTGTTCCTGAGCCGGTCTCGGTTGCTGTTCCTGAGCCGGTCTCGGTTGCTGTTCCTGAGCCGGTCTCGGTTGCTGTTCCTGAGCCGGTGTCGGTTGCTGTTCCTGAGCCGGTGTCGGTTGCTGTTCCTGAGCCGGTGCCGGTGTCTGTTCCAGAGCCTCTGCCATGGCCACCCGAGGGGTCTTCACCGCCCTGGCCGCCCGAGGGGTCTTCACCGCCCTGGCCGCCCGAGGGGTCTTCACCGCCCTGGCCGCCCGAGGGGTCTTCACCGCCCTGGCCGCCCGAGGGGTCTTCACCGCCCTGGCCGCCCGAGGGGTCTAGTGTTCTAGTGCCAGTGCCAGTGTTCTAGCCTGTTTCTTGTTTTGTTTATTGTGTTTGGATTGCTAAAATGGACTTTGAACCCTGCCTGGATGACTATGAATTGGATTGCCCTTATAATAAATATGCTGCATTTGGATCTTCCTGTTTTCCCGTGTGTTCCCGTGACAGTGTCTGCTTCCCGGACAATGGTAGGAAGACGTTCCAAAGTTTTGGTGCTAAATAGGAAAGGCATCTAGGATCTAGGAAAAGGATTCAAACGGGTAATTCCCCGGGAAAACCACTGCGTCAGGTCTAAAATATAAACACTTATAAGTGTGTACTTTAAAGCCTGACAAAAGATTATTAAAACAAAGATACTTTAAAGTAAACTGTTTTTAAAAGTGTACTTTATAAAACAGTCCTGAAAGAGTGCTCTTTAAGGCACCCTTAGTAGCCCTTTATTTCATTAATACTCTGCAATACAATACACTCATTACGGCTACAAATTATCAAAGCAATCTTTATGAAGAAAGATAAGATATATGGTGATCCACGTTACCTCTCACTAGCATAACTCTGTTCTTTACTCTCTCTCGGGCTTCCTCTAATGTGATGATATCTGTGGAAACTATTATATCGTGTTGCACAGCTAGGAGAGTGGATCATTAGTAATCAGTTTCTTCAAGAAGAAAGAGCTCTGCCGATACCAGGATAGATGCGGATAGAGAAAGAGGAAGACACTGGTGTTGCAGTACCAAGTCAGCCCACTAGGGCAGTGCCGTAGCCGTGACTGTGGCGTATCTGTGAGGATGATGTAACGAGTCTGCAGTAAATCCACACCGAGTGCAAGTCTCATCATAAATCTGATGTCTGCGCCCTCAGCGGCCTGAGACGCTGCAAACTGTTCACCTCATAAATTAGACTCGAGTTAAGTGGTTCAGTATCTGCCCTCCTGCGTAGAGACTGTACGGTGGCGTTTAGCCTTTCTGAGACACTGCACTG